CCTCATGAAGTAACCAGTCTCCTGTTCACTGCTTATTACTACCATCTCCATGGCTTTCAGGAGCACTCTTAGGCTTGAATGTCCCACATTCTGATCCAAATAAAGCCAGTTCACTTGGCGGGGAGCTTTGGAGCTCTCTGTCTTACGGGCTAACCCTACGGAGGTGAAATCTCTGTGCCATTGTTCCAGAGGTAGGGGCAGGGACAGCGGTCCATCTCTCTCAAAGTGACACCCTGCTTCCTGAATAAGGTAATTAGGATGGGATAGCAACCTTTGGTCTTCTCAGCTTGCCTCTCCTGGCATGGAAACTCCACCCTACAATTGGAAGTGAAAGAGCCTCACCTCTCAGCTACTCTTATCTGGATTAGAGCCTCTGTGACATGGATTTGGGGGTGGGGGTATAGAGATGAGATATACTGGCAGATTGCCCTTCCCAGAAAGATACTGTAGCCCTCCACTGGGAGCTAAGGGGAGAGAGAGCCCTGTGTCCTTTGCTTCACATATCCAGAGTGGTTCTTCTGTCACACTGAGCTGGGAGTGGTAGACAGGGAGCAGATTGTTTCTCAGGTGGCACAGAATTTCACTGAATTTAGTATATTTTACTGAATTTAGTATATTTTATTAAGTAAATGCTTGTTTATTTGCTTTATACCCTTAAGAAAATCTCTAGAAATTTTTTTCAAATAACATTCAATAGTTACTGTTCTTTTACTGAGGAGAGGGCCTACAAAGCCCTCATGTCACTATTCTAGAAGTCATCTCCTATTTATATTTTATAAGTATTTATATAACATGTTGTCTATTCAAAATAACGAGATCATAAGTGTACACACTGCTTTTTAATTGCTTTATTTACTTACTATATTTTGAACATCAGTCTATTTCATTAAATATTCTGTCACAATATAATTTCTGGTGTCTGCTTAAAATTCCATTGCATATATGAACAACAACATATTTAAATAATCTCTGTTAATTATGTGATGTAATCATTTATCAGTGACATGCTATTGAAAGAAGAACTCTAGTGAATATCTTTCTAGCCAAAAGTTATATGTATGCTTAATTATTTCCTTTAGAAAGTTATTAAAACAAGGAATATATGAATACAAGGTAGGCATATATTTTTAAGACTTCTGATGCAATGTTAAATTACAGAAACTTTGTTAAATTTAGCACTCCTACCAGCAATGTACGAGGGTTTATCTCTAAAATTGGAGAATGCTTAGAAAATATTTCAGATTATCATATTATTTAAGGACAAATCTTAGCACTTCCATTTGAAAAGCCAACTGGGCTGAAAAGACAACTGGCTTTGTCCCACTCAACTGTGGTTTCCTGCAGCCTCGTGAGACGAGTGGACCGAATGGAGCACTCCATCGGCAGCATTGTGTCCAAGATCGATGCTGTGATAGTGAAGCTGGAGATCATGGAGCGGGCCAAACTGAAGAGGAGAGAGGTGCTGGGAAGGCTGCTGGATGGCGTGGCCGAGGTAATGGTCGCCTGAAACAGAAATGCCCTGATTCTGTAAAATATCAGGGTAGTCGTCTTTTGTAACCCTTAATTTGAGGTTTCTCTCTCTCCATAACTGTAGATCAAATGATTATCTAGAGGTGTTATTTTCTTTAAGCTTTACATACTGATGGTCCTGCCTTTGCTAGATAGTAGAATTAAGCAAAAGTTACTCTAGTAACTGAGAATTGCTGTTGCATGCTCTGAATCTCCAGCCTTACCTCTTATAGACAGATTATTTGGCCCCCAGAATTCCTAGAGCAATTTCTAAGTACAAGAATATGCATCACTATTCCCTAACATGTTTTTTTTTTCCTTCGTTAGGATGAAAGACTGGGTTGTGACAGTGAAATCCACAGGGAACAGATGGAACGGCTAGTGCGGGAAGAGTTGGAACGCTGGGAATCCGATGATGCAGCTTCCCAAATAAGTCATGGTTTAGGCACACCTGTGGGTCTAAATGGTCAGCCTCACCCCAGAAGCTCCCGCCCTTCTTCCTCTCAGTCTACGGAAGGAATAGAAGGCACGGGTGGAACCGGCAGTTCCAATATCAACGTCTAGGACATGTGTTCGTAAATGTGTTCCTAATAGGTGAGAAGAAGGCTGTCCTGAATTTCCATAGCAACGACACTGCAGTAAGTCCTCACTTAACATTGTGGACAGGTTCTTGGAACGGTGGTGAAATGAGGCATAATGAAACTGGCTTTACCATAGGCTCATTGACATACGCAAGTGTTAAGTTCCTCCGCATCTCATCAACGTTATAACTCAACGACGTTAATTCAGGACCCACTGTATTTATATGCCCTGACCACCATATGTTGCTGGTCATTGTGACCAATTGTTAATTCTTCTGCACTTTAATTTATTTTAGGTAAACTTTGCCCATGGATCAAAGTTTTTTTCCTCTCTTGTGAGAAATTAGTTGTAAATATTGAGTACAGAAAAAAAAATCTTTGTAAGATATAGGGAGTGGAATGCCCACTTCCTACCATGACTGAGTCTCAGTTGACAATGAAGTCACCTTTTAAAGCTAGAAGAGAACTGTCAAAAGGCTTCTGAGTTTCATTTTCAAGTCACAAAAATCAGTATTGTCATTTTTGCCCAGTGTGTGAAGGGAAAGTAGGAGCACTCCTTCCTCATCGGGCTTAGCTCATGGGCTTACTACATAGCTTTCTTGTAAGAAAGGAGCCTCTTACTTTAACTACCTTCTTGGGGTAAACTTTTCTAAAAGATAAACTAGAAAAGAACTCCAAAGAGAATGGGTATGTAGTCATTGTGCTAGAATTTGTATGAATGATTAAGGTAAATGTTGAGTACTCTGCTTTTTTATTATTTTAGCATATCTAATATCTGTGAGAATAACCGTTTCACTTAATTTTTCACTGTTTCCGCTCTCATTTGAAGAGAGCTACATGAAACCACCAAAGACCAGTTATGTGTTAAAATGTCATCTCTAACCATAACATAGGAGAATTGGAAGGAATTCTATCACTAAGTTGGACTTTTTCTCATGATTAGTTTAGTATAAAGATTTATTTAGATATTCTCTTTCTAATGTGGCTCATCTAATTTGTAAGTGAGTGTAATGTAACTAATCTAGGAAGAACAACTTATTAAAATTTTTTAATATGCACTGAAAGTTTTAACTCAGCAAATACATTCATTTAAAATACAATTTTAAAAGTTTTTAAATTCATATAAAAATTATAAAACAAAAGTTTGAGTTTTATAATGTTTTAAGAATACGTATCTCAAATACTCGATCCTCCATTTCAGAACTAGAAATTCAAATCTGTACAAGCTCAATTTAATGAGAGGAATTTTGGGTATTGAAAGTTTATCTTTTATCAGAAAGTATTAGCCAAAGTTTGAGTTTGCAGCAATTTTTTTTTTTTATGTGGAGAGAGTCTCACTAAATTTATGGGAATAAGTATTTCTCAGAAAAAAATAAAAATCTATTTTTCAAAAGTGTTGACCCTTTTGACAGCTAATAAGACAAGCAAGAGAGAATACCTGCCATGCTGGTGAATAACTCACTTGGAGAATAATAGAAGAGAGCCCTGTTTTTAACGCTGTGTGTTAATGCACATTTCTATTATTTAATTGATAAAATATATCAGTCAAATCTTCAATGAAAACATGGGCAAACAAACCTTTCTAAGCTGGCTCGTGTATAAATGATACACATTGGTTTCTTTAACAGTTATTTCCCATGGCTTTATTTCCATCTTTATTTGAAGGATGCTGCACAAAGTCCTTTATTACTAGGTACTAAAGTTTGCATTCCAGGGATAGTGAGTGTATTTATGTATGTGTATCATGTTGTTACATGTAAACAAACTTCAGTTTGAAGTGCAGCCATTATGTGGTATCCATGTATATTGACCACGTGCCATGTATCAATTATGGTCACTAGAAAGTCTTTTATGATACTTATTATTATGCTGTTTTCATTTCACCTATAAAATTTTGCTAAATCCTTTTTTTACCCATAAGTTACATATTTTTTCTTCTTTAATCATGGAGAATTCCCTCTTCATCCTTCCCTTGTCATCTTCCTCTCTATATTAATATTATTGAGATGTTATATATGCAGGTATCTCTCAACAATCGAGAATTACATTGATGTTTAATACTGAGCACTTTACTTCTTAATAAAAACGTGATATAAAAGCGTATGTAAGAGTTTGGCGGTTTCCTAAGTAGACGCAGTTGGGTAATTTGCCCGGTATCATGATCATGAGCCCAGTAGTAAAGGCTTAGACTTTCAAAAAGGCATTTTCCCTTTTTATTTTATTTTATTATTTTTTTTAGGCAACGCAACCCTAACAGATTTCAAGGACCTTGTCAGCTTACAATCTCTTATTTTTTTTTTTTTTTTTTTTTATGCCTACAGCATATCTGGTCTTGTTGTCTCCCAACCAAGTACTAACTTCGCCCAACCCTGCTTAGCTTTTGAGATCATTCTGGATCAGGCTTGTTCAGGGTGGCATGGCCGTAGACAGCATTTTCCCTTTTTATGTTGAAAAACATAATTGACACGTTAATTCCTCTGCAGTATGTACCTCTAGTAAGTTATTCTGATGATTGAATAGTGTTAGCCACCACACATTAGTGACAGGTTGTCCCTAATACTTCTGCCATTCCAAAATATTTGTACCTAATTCCCTTGTTGATTTTTCATGAGTTCCTCAGTGGGTATATAACAGGAGTCAAGAGTGCTGAGTCCCAGGGATATACATATTTAATTTTACCCAGAACTGTTAGGCTGCCCTCCAATGGACTGCACCGGTCTACAGATCCACTGCCTGCATGAGAGTACCACTGTTATCCATACCCTCACCAGCACTGGTACCACCCAGCTTCCCAATCTTTGTTAATGGAATGGTTTTAAAGTGAGTTCTTATTTTGCATTTATCTGATTCCTAAGAAGGTTAAACATCCTCTCATACAGTTGTTCAACATTTGGGTTTCCATTTTTGTAAATTCCCTTTCTGCAAACCCTTGAAAATCTTACGCTTTGATTTTTTAAAATAATTTTTGTTTTTTTTGATTATAGTTGACATACAATATTGTATTTCAGGTATACAACAAAGTGATTAGACATTTATATAACTTACAAAGTGATCACACCAATAAATCTAGTACCCATCTGACACTGTACATAGTTATTACAATATTATTGACTATACTCCCTATGCTATACGTCCCCATGACTATTTTGTAACTACCAATTTGTACCTCTTAATCCCTTCCCCCCTCACACCATCTGGCAGCCGTCAAAATGTTCTCTGTATCTATGAGTTTGTTTCTGTTTTGTATGTTTGTTTATTTTGTTCTTTAGATTCCACATGTAAGTGAAATCATATGGCACTTGTCTTTCTATGTCTGACTTACTCCACTCAGCGCAATACCTTCTAGGTCCATCCTTGTTGTTGAAGATGGCAAGATTTCATTCTTTTTTTGTGGCTGAGTAATATTCCATTGTGTATATGTACCACCTCTTATCTATTTATGCATTCATAGATACCTGGGTTGCCTCTATACTTTGACAACTGTAAAGAATGCTAAAATGAACATATGGATTCACATGTCCCTTTGAAGTAATGTTTTGGGTTTCTTCCGATAAATACCCAGAAGCGGTATTTATTATTACTGGGTCCTTTGTCTCTTATAGCCTTTGTTTTGAAGTCTATTTTGTCTGGTATAAGTATTGCTACCCCAGCTATTTTGTTTGTTTGTTTCCATTTTCATGAAACATCTTTTCCCATCCCTTTATGTATGTGTGTGTCTTTTGATCTGAAGTGAGTTTCTTATAGGCAGCATATGTAAAGGTATTTTCTTATCCATTCAGCCAACCTATCTTTTGATTGGAGCAGTTAATCTATTTACATTCAAAGTAATTCTTGATAGATATCTAGTTATTGCCCTTTTATTATTCATATGTTTTATCTTTTTTTTTTTTTTTTTTTTTCTTCTTCTTCTTAAATCCCTGTAACATTTCCTATAGTACTGGCTTGGTGGTGATGAACTTCTTTTGTTTTTTCTTGTCTGGGGAGCTTTTTATCTGTCCTTCAGTTCTAAATGATAGCTTTGCTGGATAGAGTAATCTTGCTTTTCATCACTTTGACTATTTCCTGCCAATCCCTTCTGGTCTGCAAAGTTTCTGTTGAGAAATCAGCTGACAGTCTTATGGGAGCTCTCTTGTAGATAAGTAATTGCTTTTCTCTTGCTGCTTTTAAGATTTTCTTTTTGTTTTTCATCGTTGGCATTTTAATTATGATGTGTCTGAGTGTAGCCCTCTTTGGGTTCATCTTGTTTGAACTCTTTGTGCTTCCTAGGCTTATATGTCTATTTTCTTCACTAGGTTAGTGGAGTTTTTCATCATTATTTTTTCAAATAGCTTTTAAATTCCTTGTTCTCTCTCTCCTCCTTCTGGTATCCCCATGTTGGTATGCTTGATGTTGTCTCTGAGGCCCCTTAAGCTATCTTCATTTTTTTGGATTCTTTTTTCTTGTTGCTGTTTTGATTGGGTGTTTTCTGCTACCTTATCTTCTACATCACTGATTTGATCCTCTGCTTCTTCTAATCTACTATTGATTCCTCCTAAGGTAGTATTCTTCATTTCAGTTATTGTATTCTTTATTTCTGACTGATTCTTTTTTTACGTTTTTTTATCTCCATTTTTATGTTTCTCTGTCTCTTTGCTAAAGTTCTCACTGAGTTCATTTACTCTTCCCCTAAATTCATTGAGCATTCTTATAACTATTGTTTTGAAGTCTGTTTCTGATAGATTGCTTGTCTCTATTTTGTTTAGTTCTTTTTCTGGAACTTTGTTCTGTTCTTTCATTGGGGATGTGTTTCTTTGGTCTCCCCATTTTCTATGTTTGTTTCTATGTATTAGGTAGGGCTGCTAGGTTTCTCAGTCTCAGTAGAGTATACTGGGGGACCCAGTAGCGCAGTGTCCCTGGTCACCTGAGCTGGGTGCTCTGTGTCCCTTGCATGAGTGGTGTGTTCTCCTGTTGTAGTTGAGCTTGGTTGCTGTTTGCACATCAGTGGGAAGGATTGACCCTTGGCCTGATTGGTTGTGAGGACTGGCTAGTGACTATAGTAGAGTTGCTGACTCTACAGAGCAGGATTCAATTCAGCAGGGCTCTGGTGCTGCCCAGTCTGCCCTTTGGGTGTGTCGTCCTTGTATGCGGCCCCAGGTGGTGGTGCCCTGGCTTAAGCCAAAGCCAGCAACGACATGCAGACTGTTGCTTTCTGGGAGGGGACCCACGACAGACCCACAAGTTTGGCCGCAGCTTGTGCCCTGTCCAGGGCCATGTGACATGAGCCATCAAGCAATCTACAGGTTGCTACCACTCATGCTGGGCTTGGATGTTCCTCAAGAAGCCAAGCCATGCACCAAAGCTGGCTGCCACTAGTACCGGGCTTGATGCTGCTCAGTAAGAGATCCAGGCCACATCGAGACTAGATGCTGCTTATTTAGGTTTTGTGAACCTTTGGGAGATTTTAGGGAAGTCTAAGAATGAGACAAGAGAGGCCATTTGTATGAGAAAACCACTGGAAGCGGCTTAGGTGGGCCCACAAGTTGGGTGGGACAGGATCTCAAGAACTCACCAAGCCAGGGTGACTAGTATTAGCCAGATTGATGGAGACTCAGATATGGTAGTCTTCTGTGTCTGCATGCTTGGTTGGGGAAGGGCTCAACAAAGGAACAGTGGCCTCAGCCAGCACTTCTGTCTGAGAGAAAGCTGCCCCTCCAGTCCTAGCCCTGAGCCAGACAATTCAGTTTCCCCCCACAGTTTCCCTGACATCTTTTGAGCTGCTACTGCAGCACTAGAGCTCAAAGCAAGTTCATCAGCTGGTAAATCCATGCATTGGCCCTTAAGATGAAGACCTGGGACTCCCATGGCCCTCCATCACACTGAAGCCACAAAATGCTGATTTTTACATTCAGATTTTGTGGGGCCCTCTCTTCCCAACACTGGAACCCTGGGCTAGGGTTTCTGGTGTGGAGCTGTGACCCCTTGCTCCTCCAGGGAGACTTCAACAGCCGAGATATCCCTTCTGATTTTTAACTGCCCCACTCAGGTGTGAGACCACTCCAATCCACATCTCAGCCCTCCTACCAATCTCAAGGTCACTCTCTATGTCCTCAGTTGTAGGTCTTTTGTTCAGCTAGACTTTAGGCGATTTTCAATGATGGTTGCTCTGTAGTTTAGTTGTAATTTTGATGTGGTCGTGAATGGAAGCAAGCACAGCATTTACCTAGTCTGCCATCTTGACCAGCCTTACACTTTGTTATAATGTGAAACGGATGTTTTCATTTATTGTCTATTTTTCCACTGAGTCAAAGTCTTTTTGTTGATTTGCAAAATTTCCTTTTATGGTTTAAATATTAATCCCTTAACAGTAGTAGACTGTTAATATCCATCATCCAACTGATAACTTTGTCAATGTTTTCTTAGTTTTTAATGTAGTAAAACTTATTTTTTTTTTTTCGCTTTATTGTGTTTTGGGTATTATAGAGTCCTTTGTAAGGTTACAAACTTTTATTTATTAAATTTATGGTTTTACCTTTCACATTTAATACATCTTCAGAGTAACTTTGCATTAGGTCCATAGGTGTTCTTCCCCATTTAATGAGCCAGTTTTATCAATACGCTATTAAATCAGTCTTTCCCTTACTAGTTCTTGGTGTCACATACTTCAGTTGCATGTTTTTGAACTCTTTACACCAATTTGTGAATATTCCTCCCTAAAAATTTTTTTATTATGACTTCATAGTATGTCTTCCTATGTGATACAATCTTCATATGTGATACAATCTTTATATGTGCTCTCCTGTTTGGCCTTTTTTTTTTTTTTTTTTCTTTTGGCAATGTTGACTAAGCTATTTTTGTGAACCTTTATTTTTCCATCTAAATGTTAGAATAAGTTTGATGGGGAATGCCCTTCTAGTGGCTAGAGGGGATGCTGCCTGATTCATGAATGATTTAATGAAACCAATTTGATCTTCAAAAAATATATATAAGAAATGTAAGTTAAATGACCTTCATTGCTTATTACAATGCTAAATCAGAATTTTCCAATGAATCATCTGAAATTTCTAGATCACCTCTCAGAGATAATAACACAACAGGGAGAAAAAGAAAAATAGTCTTTCCTTATTCTCTTCCTTCCATACGTACCCAGATGATCATCGATTCTTATCAGGCAAGTTTAGGAAAACCCACCCTAAGTAACAGTGAACAAATAAGGAAGATCAGTCTAGAAGATAAAAGTTACTTCAATTTAGAATGTAAGTATCTTATGTTCATATTGCTCAATGGGGACAAAAAGTAGACTATAGATCAACATGTGAGTCATTTAAAAAATTTTTAAAAATGTGTACATAAAGAGATGGAAAGCCAGGAGGTACACAAGGATGGTAGCTATGCTGGTGGGGTTCCACGTTTTCTTTCTTTGGGATCTTTATTCCGGGGAGGACCAACAACCCTCTTAGAGTGAGGTGAGATGCTGATTATCTTCTGCACTGTCTTAGTGCAGATGAGCTGTTGCAATTATTTGGGTTATCTTGACACACAAATTCTTATGGATGTGGTAGACACCATTTGAATTAGTCATAAGTCTAACTCTGTCTTTACCAAAGAATCCTCTGATCTCAATTTCAAACTAGACATGAATGTCACAAGTAAATGACAACATAACATCTTACTATTTAAATTAGCAATTGGTATTCTGGTTTAATAATCTCCTTTTGAGGATGGCTAGTATGAATTAACTCCTCAGAACATAACAACACCCCTTGGATGCACTGAAAAATTAAATCCAATTCCTGAACATGCAAAATGAGCTTTCCTATAAGCTCCCCATGAAACCTGATCTCAACTGGTAGCCAGCCCTCTTACCCGCCTTAACCACAGAAACTGCTGTCACAAAGGCTGAGTATACTGAGAGCAACTTCAAAACTAATTCCAGATGTATAAACCCACTTTTTGTCTTTTGACAATTCAGGAAGTGGGAGGGGCGTAAGAAATGAAGTATTAAAAGCAATATATCTGTTCTATTATGCAGAAACAGGATTTCAATACATATTGAAAAGCAAATATCTTAATAAAATTACCAGCAAATTTCTTAGGAATCTGTTTTATCAACATTTTAACTATAGTTTCACATGCAACCAGAACAATAATTATTTATAGCAGGGGCCTTTGCAAACTGGCCTGTTGGCCAAATGTGGCTCACACTGCCTGTTTTGTGAAAAAGTTTGTCAATGCTTGGTGCAGAAATAAACCATTTCCTTCTATCCTGCCCCCACCTAACAAAACGTAATGTAAAAAAAAAAGTCACAAAATCATACAGAAGGAAGAACAAGTGAAAGGCTGACTTTTCAACAGAAGGAAGAAGACTCTCCTTGATTCTTACAACTTTGAGTCCAAATCTGCATAATAGAATATTCAAAATATTTTGGTAACAATTCAAAATAAAGAAATTTTAGGATTACATCAAGGCATGTAGAGAAAGTTGAAAAAGTATACTTAGATGGCTGCTCCTCTTTAAGTTAGTCAAAAAATGAACAACTCAATACATATAACTATGTAATCAAAGTTTTAAAGCTAAAAGAAATTCTTACTTTATAGATGCAAGAAGAAATTCAGAGAATGGAAAGATGTATGAAAAGAACATAAAATGCAAAGTAAATTTTAAGAATTACTTGATCTTTATGATTTCTATCTGAAAGAGGTAAAATAACATTTCCAGTGTATCTATATAATTTATCATACCAGGAAACTAAAAATAAGTAGGGGGTATATAAAATTATATAACTTTTGAAAATATTTATTAATTACATATTAACTTTATTATATCAATGGACCTATAAAATAGTTTACTCAAATCCTATTTTTAAAAATTCATAATTCGCCAAGAGAAACCTGTTTAGATTATTTGTGTGCACACAAGAAATGGGTAGTAATATGAATATTCAATATGAATATATTGTTTACCATGGAAACCAGTCAAAAATCTTAACACTACAATGACTTGGAAGTGCTCTCAAGCCAATGAACTTCTGTAATCCTACTGCTACATCAAAAGAAAACTTCTTTAGACACAGCATGGCAAGAGGTATAAAACACTACACAGTTCTGCCACAGGGACTGCAAAATAGAAATACAGAAATATAGAAAGCACAGCATTTCTATAAAATTAGTGCCTTCAGTAAGACCCACAGCGCAAGACAGTGATCCTAGAGGCTTCAGGGACAATCATAAAATTATTGCATGGTACCAATTTGTCATCAAGTGTCTAAAGGATAGGAGCATGTACAGAGCTCAGCATCAGCCCCTTCTGCTGGCAGCTCGGGCATCAGTAGTGGCTGCCAGGAGACCAGTCATGGTGAGAGCCCACACCACTGGACCATGAGTGCCCTGCATCCGTGCCACCTCCGACTAGTCTGTTCTGGGGCCCACTGAGCAAGCATGGATTGGCCTAAAGAGGTCTTATAAATATGAGTAATTTCAAATATATGTAGGTGGTTTTGAGGTTAATAAAATTCAAATCTAAAGACCATGAAGGATAGCTTCAAAGATGGGAAAACATATGAGCACATCCACTTCCTCTCCAGCAACTGTCTCAACAATCAGAATGATTGTTGCAACCGCATGGTGGGGCACCTGCGGATGCTGAATGGTACTCCGAGATGCCATCACGGGGGTCTGCACTCTGGTGATCCTCAGCTCAGAGTCTCTAATTCCCGTAATACTGAGATGTATTTACATTTAAAAGGGGGTACTGAAGGCAATGTGATCTCTTGTTAATGTGCCAGTGTTAATTTCGTAGCTCTGACCATGGTATATAAAACGTTAACATTAAGATAGGCTAACGGACATGGGAACTTTCTGCACTATCTCTGCAACTTTTCTGTAAATCTAAAATTATTCCAAAATTAATACTTTATTAAAGATGTACCTATTCATATGGAAACACAAAACTGAGCTGTGGTGATGTTCTTTCTGATAAAAGCACAGGGGGGAGTATACTAGCATCATTTTAAAAATGCCCTAGAGAGCAGTGAAGTAGTGATTAGGAGTAGGGCATGAGAGAGGCTTCCACACTCTGGTAATTCCTATTTCCTAACCTGGATTGGTGAATACAGGGGTATGTTCTTTTTATGCTATTTCACTGAACCGTATTTTTCCCTAAATTACCCTTCAATAAAAAGTAGTTAAAAAAACTTTCCTACTACTGCTAAAGGTTAGAATGAAAAGATGATGGGAAGGATCTTGGAAATCACCAGCACCTGCCATGAACAGTTCTTATGGAGGGGCCCACAGGTGCAGCGGGGCTCACAGGCCCAGGCATTTGCATTCAAGCAAAGTTCCAGGTGATCCAGATGCACACCCAGGTCACAAACCACTGAACTACCTCAGGCGGACTAAGTCACCAGATTCCTGGCTCTATCTGCTGTCCAAAGGCTTAGCTGAGACCCGAGATATTCTAATTCCACAACAGAAAAATCTCAGTAGGTTCTACTAACCTTACAACGCTTATCAAAAATTATCTTTCATAATGTTTTTTTTACCCTATAAGTAACACTGGGTTTTCCAACACAGATTTCATTCTTCTACTACAGCATTAATACATTTGTTATTTCTTACTTATTAAAAACTGGCAGATTATCGATTCATATAAAATTAAAGCTGGAAGAGCAACTATTCATTTTAAAGATGAGGAAACTGCTACCAGAGATTATTAGTAACTTGTCATGAGTTTCTAGAATTCAGTTCTTCTATAGGTTGATAAATTAAACTAGATTTCTCCTTCATGGTTACTATTTGGCTAGAAGAGTTAATAAGCAGTACATGATATCACTAGTTTATGAATTGGATGCTTCATGCATAATTCAGTTCACTGTGATTTCTGCAAAGGTTTCTGTCGAAAATAATTCTGGCTGCACAACAGTATGATGGCAAATGAAAAGAAGACAACAATATACTTCACTAGATACTTAAATTGCACAGATTCCTTTTTAATGTGTAGACAAATCAGGTAAATTAGAGAGAGCTTTAAGAAAACTTTTTAAGAAACAACAATTTTAGGTAGGCAATTGTTAGGAAGATAACAGTCATGCATGCCAAAGCCACGTGATTCTTCCACAGGCCCCAAGGCGAGATATCGATGCCCTGCTTTATCAAGAATTCTTCTCCAGTACATCTGAAATTCAACAGAAAAAGAATATGACTTCAATCTTAGCATAAGTACAATTTTACTCAATACAATCACCATTCATTATTTTAAGAAGCCTATAGCTTACAAGTCTTAAATAACTATCCCTTCATATAAACTAGGTAACAGTTAATGAGTGCTTACAATTCTGCTTGATACACGCTGAACATCCTGCATGTAACAGTTTACTTAATACCTAAAACAATGCAATGAGGTTAATATTACACACATTAAAAGATGAAGAGAGTATGGTTTAAGGAACTTGACCAAGTTCACAGACTCACACTTTGAACCAAGCTCCCTCTCCAGATCCATTTGTGTCCAGATCTATGCTGCTGCTCTCTTCAAAGGGCAGAAACATTTACCAAGTAATTTTTCACTTATTCCTGAGGCGGGAAACCTCAGCTTTAACAGGTGACATCTGAGGCCCTCAAAAAGATGATCAAAGCTCTATATAGACTAATTACCCACCTATCAGCCATACAAAAGAAACAACACTACAAAAGAACATAGGCTAAGAATTCCAAAACTAAGAAAAGAGGAGAGGAAGGGCTTCCTGCCAGAGTTGTACTCCGTCAGCTCTTGCACCAAGACTGGAATAAGCATCTCAGGTGCTCGGCCACAAGACATCACCAGAATGCCAAGTCACCAGGGAGGCCTGCGTGGTAGATGGAGCAGAGCTGGTGGAGTTGCCCTGCCACAGGTTAGAAAAGCACCTGGTACTAAAAACACCTGGCACAGCCATAGTTATTACCTTATACCATTTTTGTACAACTCTTTAAATTAAGCAGTTCCCCAAAAATGTCATACCCAGGTAAAAAGAACAGAAGTGGGCAGGATAAAGAAAATTTCTCTTCATAGAGGTTTTCCGGTAATACAGCCGACCCTTGAACAACACAAGGGTTACGGGCACAGGGCTGTGCCATCGAAAAGCCACATATAACTTTTGACTTCCTCCAAATTTAGCTATAAAAGATCTACTGCTGACTGGAGCCATACCAATAACATAACAGTAAATTAACACATTTTGTATGTTATCTGTATTATATTTCATATTCTTAGAATAAAGGTAGAGAAGATGTTATTTAAAAAATTATAAAGGAAAAACTACATATACAGATTTATTGAAAAAAATCTGCATATTACTGAGCCCATGCAGTTCAAATCTGTGTTCAAGAATCAACTCTACTTCAGAATGGCATTTTTTTGCCATTATTCAAAGCTATTTCTCTTCTACTTGAATGGTCATGAGATTTAGGATATCCCCATTCTCTTTTCTGTCATTAATATATCAAAACCAAACCATTAATGACAATCATTGAAAAGAAAATTGTCATTTATTTTTAAAAAAACAACATCTTCTAATTTTATTAAAATCTGCATTTGTTTTATTGACATTTCGGTTTTATTGGCAATACACAAAAAATGGGAATTCCTTCCTAGCTTACAAAAATATGTTTCCTTCTCTAGGGAATAGATCCTTTGATAGGTAGTTTCCAAGTCAGTTTTTTAAAAACCCAAAAACCGTTCAGCGTTTGATTTCATGATGTCTCCTAAATGCAGGAGGAAGAGGCAAGTGCCTGGACTGTGGCAGGAAAATGTCCACTCCCTTTCCTTCTGCTGCCCTTTTAGCTCTTACTGCTGACCATGGGTTGGGCTCACAGGAAGCCCTAAGTGTGTGGATCCATTCACTGCACGTAATCTATACAGTGCAGATACTGTAAGGACTTGGTAAAACATCAAAGCAACGCATTTCAAACTCGCAAGTTCTGAAAATCAAAACCCATACCCACAATCAAAACAGCAAAAGGATCTTTTAAAAGGCCCATGACACACTCACATAGGAGCCATTTCTCCAACTTAAATATAATTCTGACCATAGTAGAAGATCTAGTTGTTGCACAGCACCTTGACGAGCATTAGTGGACAAATCACTTGACAGATAAGAAAACTTAGGGCCAAAGCAGTCAGTGTCCCTGAAAGGACTCATACCAGCTCTAAGCCCAGTGGCCTTTCTGCATCACACCACACAGTAAGCAAACCAACTAAGACACTGAATGCAAACTTACGTTGCGGCGCTACAGGTATTGTTTGCTGTTACATTGAGTCCCGGGCAGAAGTTTTGTCCCAAAAATTCACTATGCAGCAAAGCCTATAACACAAGGGGAAGTGGGTAAGATAGTTTTAAATTTCAAAAAGTTTCCAAAGAATTATCACAATCGCATCCTCCTAGTTTAATCTCTATTGTTTCTGCAAACCAACCAAAGTTCACTTTCACAGTCTTTGTCACACTAAAGTGACTAAAATGATTCTTCTTGGCAATCAAGAGGCCTAGGAGTGGGACTTCAGCTTCTAATACAAAGGAAATAAAGTATTTGGCCACAAGGTGAAACCTCTGGCTATATTACCCCATGGCTCCTTCCTCCTCTCCCCAATGTATAACCCCATAAACACTATAATTGAAATGATACAGTGGTACCCAATGACTATTGTGAATTTATGGTAACATCTTTTATATTGTTCTTGTTTGTTGTGATCAAAACCATTTATAATTCCTGGGAGTCACAAAAGCAATCATATTATATCAAGACACAGTTTTCTTGGGAGTTGATTAGCTTTCTAAAGCCAGCAGTGGCTGTGAATATTACATGGTCTTGGTTTTCTTCTAAATTCCTTTTCAATGTAAATATGAATTCTAGGCTCCCATCATCCTATTCATTTCCCCACTGAACTAAAAATAAACTACATTTTTTCCTCATCAACTGGTCAACCTTTCTCCTTCTCTGTGAGTTATCTTCTCACCCCTCACCTTCCTTAAACAACAGGGTGACCGGGGCAAGTGACCTAAGGCTTGATAGAAGACTCTCCTTCATTGCTCCCAAAATGGAATTCCTAAACACATCCATAGCTCACGTCTGGGCACGTGAGATGGTCAGGCTTTATTCTGGTTGTTCCTAGCTTGGGAGTAATGAACCAGTCACAAGGACAGGTGAGGAAAACTTACCGCATAGCCGTATCGAGGAATGCTGAGGTACTGAAGCCATGAGAGCCAAGGCACGATGGTTGTGAGATTGACCAACAGCCCTGAAAAAATCTACAAAAAGCAAATACCAAGAATCGGGACTGATGGAGTGATTTCATGAAGAATTCTGGACAACACCCTCCTTAAGGCCCCTACAACCTTGTAAACGTTTGTGCTAAGGCCAACTCTTTCTTGAAGTCCGTTCCACTATTCTGACAACTTATCATATCCTCTTTGCCTGTGCATACCTTCCTATGACTGAGGCAGTTTATGATTTTAAAGGAATGAAAATATATCTATATTTCATTTAATTGGAAGATCCTTACTTGTCAAGGCTTTTACTTTCTCGGTAATGGCATGTAAAGGAAGGTCTGTAAGCATGACTGTTCTAATCCTACGACCACTATACGTTCCTGCCAAAAGACATACACAGCATATCCTGAGCATCTCATGCCCCTGCCTACTTCCACGACACAGGAAGCTTTGTTATTTACAATGCTTTGCATCCCGTCTCCATATGACTAATTTGAAGAATAATTTGTGGTTCAGAATGTGTACTTAAAATAACCCTAGAGTTGTACACAGCGTAATGTGGAGAAATACAGCATAAAATATGGTCAATAACTTCATTTAAAGCTACCAAAAAGCAGTACTGCAACAGAGGCCCCAGGAAAGACCGCTCCAGCAACAGATGGCTATGTAAGAAGAGATTCATACAGAACTTCTCCTATCTGGCACTCAGTTTGCTGGATGGGCGTAATAATGAATATGTTGCTGGTGTGACTATACATTTTTTGATTTGACTGTCAAGTGCTGCATATATAACATCTCTCAATAAAATGTTTTATGAGTAGTTTAAAAAGTTCTAAATATAAACCATTAAATAATAAATCGAAGTATCTAATATATCAAACAAAATGTTTTTATATAATAAAGGACATTTTATTTATTGAATGACATTACACAAAATATACACAGTTTATCAACTTCTCAATAATGTTTAGATTGATAGTTTTCAACAGTACAGTTTGTGCTAATTACAAATTTTTAAAGACATCTACTATTCTAGTAGAAAGGACATGAGTATTAAGTAAATAGACTAAGTATTCCTATTTACGTGGTGTACATAGTACTTGATGTGCTAACTGATTCCCTTTACCTGTTGATTCATCTACATGTGTGCAAAGTGTAGGGGCTTGTAAGCTTAGAATAAAGTAACCATTAAAAAAAAAGGTATGCAAAAATATACTGATATAAGAGAATGTCATGAACCAAGAAAGGAGAGGACCTAACACTGTGGATTTTGGAATTTTTGAGTATTTTTAAAACACTTCTTTTCAAACTATGGGAGGAACCCAAGAAGGATGACCCATGCCACATATGTTTTATTTTTCAAGGAGCTTAGTTTTTCCCTTGGAGAAAGTCTGATCCAACCAAACCAACTCAGATGCCGGTTAAATAAGCCAGCAGTTCTCTAACACCAGTGCCGAAGAAAGGCAATTAACTTGTCATTTTCATGAGGGAAGCTTCCAATCAAAATTTTTCTGGTTTTTGAAGTTCCCATTTATCAAGGTTTCACTAAATGTCACAAGAAGCATCTTTTAAAATCTCATTTGAAACAACATGTTAACTAAAGTTAGGGCACTATATTAGAACAATAGCAAAAAAGGCCGAGTAAGTCAGGAAGAAGCTGATACATTCCCTAATACAAGCTATATTTTAATATACGGCTTCCTTAATGCAGAGTCCCATTTACAGAATCCTCAAAGCAGGTTTTCCATGACAGGTGAGTTTGCAGGAAGGGACAAAGGGAAATAATTACTTCTCAGAGAAGCACAGTTTCTACTCACCATCATAAACACAAAAGAGATGGTCATGAGAAGTGTTGCTATGGATACCACACTCTGACCTGCTGCTATGGCCAGTGCCATAGAACTGGCTGCATAAGCCACCATCATAAGAGTAAGCATCATGATGAAGAAAGCTCCCACCTCTGCTTTCAATCCTTAGGGAAAAAAGAGGGGTTAGTCTAACTGCCTAGGGCACTGTACATCTGTGATTCTTTACAAATAACACTATAATATTTTGAGAAACTATCAGAATGAAAAAATTCATCCTCTATCCAACCACCCTGAGTCACCAGTTTCACTGTTCCTTCCCCAAATAACTGCATAAAGTTATCATACAGTTTTCTTTTTTATACTTACTGCACAGGCACTTTGCCATGTATCACCTATGCTCCTTATGTGTCAGTAGTAACAATCTCTCAGTGCCTCAGCAGGAGAGCAGGAGGCACTGCACCTGGCCAGAGTTCTACTGCCTTCTCTTAAAGAAGGAAACTTGTGAAGAGTACAGTCTTTTTACATTGACATCACCACATTGCTCAGTGTTTGTCGTAAGTGCGTTAGTGAAGAACTGGGAAGATTAGGATATTGTGACCTCCCAGTAAGTAGCCTCACTATCTGAGGGACTGCCTCCAGGATCCAAGTCTCTGAGACTAAGTGCCATAGAGCTCTGAAATTGAGAAAGGGTTAAATTACAATTCACAAAACTGCCTTATAAACTATAATGGGCTACTATTATGGGTCAAACAATCTAATCATTTTGGAACAGCCATAAAAACAGTCTGGAGTCTGAGGATACAGGTCTATGCCTACTTCTCATTTATTTATTTAAATTTTTATTTTTTAATTTTTTTCAATTATAGTTGATCTATGCCTATTTCTTTATGATACATCACTTATTCGTAAAATGGAAGTTGAAACTGAATCAGTGGATCTTTTCCTATAGTACGTTGTCAAAAAAATATATATTCTTTTATGTGTATGTGTATATCAGTGAAATATATGGAAATTTCAAGACAATGAGCCTGGAGTGAAGACTAAACACAATGTAAAAATGAATCTGTCTACATGTATCATACGAATACCTTTGTTAAACAAACAAGCCCCAAAAGTTGCTTTCATTACCTCTCTCTCTCTCTCCATATACATATATAGATATATATAATTTTGTCTTATTGCTTACCTACCAAGAAGTATGTTATACAAGTAAATATAATACTTGGTAACATCCTCATGGGTAGTAAATCAGATAAGAGTTTTCCAAAGAAATAAGATGACACTCTGTAGTATCCACTGATATATTCATGCCTGAAAAACAAAATTCGCATCGTACTTCTCACATTAGTTTAAGAAGGCACAGACTAGATGATTAAAGCACTTCTGTACACATTTCTGCTGCCACCAGGGGTTTAACAGCTGCACCTTCTCAGATCCGCCAGATTAACCCACCACCTCCACCCAGTCAGCATCGGACACTATGTCAGGTATGTGCCTCCTCTGGGAGGCTGCCTTCTGGCTCTTTCCATTCTTCCTTCCACTGAAGGCTAAGCTTGGTCTACAGTCTTTGTCCTCTTTACTTCCCCTCCTTCAATTTACTGTTCGACCCACTACTTTCTCTCTACTAAGCCCTTACAACCTTCCTCGTGAAGGTCACCATGACTTCTTCTTGGCTAAAACAAAAGATCCTTTCCAGCAACTTTATTGCTTGCCTTCTCTGCATTTGCTGGCTATGCCCTGATCTTGAGCCTGCTTATTCCCCTGGTCTCAGGCCCCACGTGCTCATGATTTTCCTCCCAGCCTCTGGCCGCTTTCTCTCTCAATTAACATTGGTAATTCCCGGGAACCAATCTTTGGCCCAATTCTGAGAGTGACTAGTTTGACCAGCAGTCTTGAAACTGGAAAGCTCCCATCCTGAGACAGAGACATACTCACATAAACAGCTTCTTCTCGACCACAAAGAGCTCCACAGAAGACACACTGCTGAAACACTGGTTATTTGTCAAGAAGAAGAGCACCCCAGCTCTGTGATAAGAGAAAGGAAACAAAAGCACTGCACTGATTAAACTTTCTTAGATCAGTTTCCTATCTGCAAAACTCTTTCCTCAAATGTTATAATGTTAAACAACAGTTATGGTTAAAACAGAGGGAAGTATGAGTCCCCTCAGGTCTCTCCACACCCCTGTGTCTCCAGAGGGGTGCCCCTGGGACTCCATAGCACAATTTGAAATTCACAGTCCCAGGTTGCCATTGACTGAAATATGTCCACCCAAAATTGCTATGTTGATGCCCAAACCCTCAATGTGATCATATTTAGAGATGGTGTCTTTGGAAGGGGATCAGGTTCAGATGAGTTATGAGGTTGGTGCTCTCATGATGGGATTAGTGCCCTTAGAATAAAAGGGAGAAAAAACAGAACTATCTCTGCTTCATTCAATAACAGGGCAGGAAGGCAGTAAGCGAGAAGAGGACCCTCATCAGATCCTTACTTACCATCTGGCACCTAGATATCTAGAAATGTAAGAAATAAATTCCTGTTGTTTAAGCCACACAGTCTATGGTTCTTTGTTTTCAAGCTGATGATTACATAGGTCATAAAAATACTATCACCTTGAATTTTAACTAAGAAAAGCACCAAGTACCATTCCTAATGCATGAACAGAGAAACAGTCAAATAAAGCGTGCAAAGGTTAAAAACCTCTATTAGCTGCTTTTTAAAGTTGAGCAAAGAAGAAACAAAGACATAAAGAGGCAAAATGAAAGACAGTGAAGGGAAACCTCTATCGATATCTTACTATATACATTTCCCACACAATCATCAGAAGAACCTTGATAACGTTTTTGACAACCCATCACTAAGACAGGTTCCAATGTGCTCAAAAAGAAAAATCATGCTTATAAAAGAAAAATTAATTTCTGCACGTGTAAGAAAGGGAAGACTGTTATTAATGCTTCTCTCTCAGAAAAAAAGTTTTAAACAGTGAAGTACTCAGTTTATCTATGCTTTGATAGAAATATAAATTTCATGAAAGCATGCCAAAATCCCTTGAACCAGTCAGTGTTGGGCCTCCCTTCACAACCAAACAATTTAACTGACAATGAGGATGCGAGCTAAAACTAAAAGCAATAAAGTGGCACAATTTTAAATGACACAAAATAAGAGAGCATTTTAAAAAATGTGAATCCAAGTGTACAACCCCGAAACAAAGATTCCATTGATATTAGGTGATTTTTTTAACACCAAAAAAATAATGATAATAAAAAAAGAGAACTTAGGGAACAGGCTGTTTTAAAAGTAAATGTACAATAATGAATAAATAGAAACTATCCAGGCCCAGGTAACAAGCAGCAATGCAACTTTCTAGACTCAAAAGAAGCCTAATACCAAAAGAAAAGCTAATTTTAGAAACATGACATGGCAATATTCAGCAATATTCAACAATTTGTTAAGTCTTTCATTTAACACTACAATAATGTTTATAATGATTCAGAACTAGTAGATAGTAAAATTCCTTCTAAATCATAAGATAATTTATTTTAAAATAAATATACTTTTTATGCTAAAAAATATTCTGTTTTAAATTCTTTTTAAGGTGGTAATCCATGTTTGTAATATCTAACTATGGACCCAAATACATTTTTTAAATACCTTTTCTCTTAAACACATTATTTCTTTAGCTATCACCACAACCCTGTAAGGTACCTATTAGGTCAAAGGGGCTCATAATCTACACATGATTAAAACCCAGCTTGTTAGAGAAAGGTCAGAGAGAGAGCGCCTCCAGGGTAATTCATTCCCAAAGAAGAAAAGGAAACCACTGGCCTCCTGAGCAATTTTAAATGATGAAAAACTGGTAGCAATCTGAAGCCCAAAATACAAATTAAAAGAAATCCAATGCCCTCTTTTCCAGAAAACATTGGAAGAAACAGCTTAAGCTCTTCTTTATTTCTCTAGATTCTTTTACTGAGATTTTTAATAGCTAGATTTCCAGTTCCTCTTTAAAATCCCAGTGGAGGGCAGGTGTCCCAATATTGTTTTCAAAATGGTTCCTGCTGTACAACACAAAAGGTCCACAGGCTCTAAAACCTATGATAATACTCTGTTTTGAGTGAAATGTAACATCTACTGAGGTACAAACCACCAGTTACTAGCAGGTGTGGAAAGAATCCAGAAGAGAACACAGCTGTCAGGGAAGGTTAAGATAAAAACAATTCACATAACTCTCAAAAGGAGCTGCCATAGAAATCTCATTGTAGAGGAACACTATCTGATTCCATACAGGAAATGCTTATTACCTGAATGAGGAATTGATGTTTATGCTTTTTCTTTCTTTCATAAACAATCATCCTTTTCCAGACATCAAAATAGATTCCATTAAACCACTGCAACTTTCCTCAGAAGTAAATTGAGGATAATACCATTCACCCCTCTGGGTGGGAGGGTAACCTGAGACCATGGGTGTAAAGCAGGGAACACAGTGCCTGGCCCAGAGAGGCTCTCCACAGACAAAGCACAGGGCTCCATGGTGTATGACATTGCTGAGCACCTATAATCAGAGCATGCTGGAGCCCATTACAATGTCTCATCATGAAATTATATTTTTAAGGGAACGTAATGACTGAAACTAGGTAAGGTAAACTGACATAAGTGCTAACCACGAACCATAACCACATGCAAAAAAAAAAAAAAGCCTACTATCAAAAATGAGTAATTTCAAAATAAAAAGCTAATTATAAAAACATGAGACCTGACAATAATTCAGTTCAATTTATTAAGTCTCACATCTAACAGTACAATAATGTTCATAATGATTCTGAACTAATAAATAGTAAAATTCCTTCTGAATTGTAAAGAATTTATTTTATAGTAAATAATTTCTGTTAAAGAATTTAACATATTCTAATTCTTTTCAATGTGGTAATCCATGTTACAGTTAGAAAAAACTGAGTCCCATCCACCTCCCCACAGCAAACCAATCAAAAAATAGAAAGAAAATTAATTCACAGGCAAAAAAATAAAGAAATGGACAAACCAGTCTATGACAAAATTTAAACTTTTGCATATCAAACGACACTATCTACAGAATGAAAAGACAACACACAGAATGGCAGAAAATATTTGCAAATTTATATCTGATAAGGAGTTAATATTGAGAATGTACAAAGAACTCTTACAGCTCAACAGTAAAAACATCCAATTTAAAAATGGGCAAAGAACTTGAATAAACATTTCTCCAAAGAAGACATAGAAATGGCCAATAAGCGCATGAAAGGTGCTCATATGACTAATCACTAGGGAAAAGAAAGTTGAAACCATGATGAGATACCACGTCACACCAATTAGGATTGCTATTTACAAAAACAAACAAACAAACAAACAAAACCCAGAAAATAACCAGTGTTGACTAGGGTGTGCACTGCTGGTAGAAATTCAATATGATATAACTAACTGCTGTAGAAGACAGGAAGGCAGTTCAAAAAAATATATAGAATCACCAAATGATCCAGTAATTTCACTTCTAGGTATACACCCAAAAGAATTTAAAGTAGAAACTCAAACAGATATTTATTTATACACCCATGTTCACTGCATTATTCACAATAGTCAAAAGGCATAAACAACCCAAGTGTCCATGAATAGATAAATGGATAAACAAAATGAGGTATAGCTATACAATGGAATGCTATTCAGATTTAAAAAAAGAAAAAAATTCCGACAATGCTACAACATGGATGAACCTTAAAAATATTACACTAAGTGAAATTAGCCGGTCACCCAAGGACAAATACTGTATGATCTCACTTATATGAGGTACCTAGAGCAGTCAAATTCAGAGACAGAAAGTACAATTGTGGTTTCTAGGAGCTGGGGAAAGGAGGACTGGGGAGTTATTATGCAATGGGTACAGAGATTCAGTTTGGGAAGATGAAAAAAAAAGTTCTGGAGATAGACGGAGGTGACGGTTGCACAACACTACAAATGTAATTAACGTCACTTAACTGTACACTTAAAACTGGTTAGAAAGGTAAATTTTATTTTCTGTATATTTTATCACTAATATATATATGAAAATTAACTTCCTTAAGCTTTCACTTCACTGATTTATCCTACTCCTCAATTCATCCTGTACTTGTCTAAAATTCAAACTCTTAATAAATTTTTAGAACCCTGAAAAAAGTAGCAGTACTTTTTCAAAACCAAGGTCTAAATTTACTTACCTATTCTGGATTCCTGTAGAGTCACTTTTTAGATGATAGAAAATGGCACTTATAACAAGTCCCAGGAAAACTGTTACAAGGATCTTTTCAAAAAAAAAAGAAAGAAAAGAAAAGAAAAAAGTTACAAGTAAGGGTAAAAACTTAATATACCATTTATTATTACAATATATATGGCCACATAATCAAATCACTCCATTGAGATAGATACTTTAAATGGCTTGGTCGAAGTCCTTGGGAAAATACAGAAGAGTGTATGTTATTAGACTGCTTTCTAAATTAAAATAAAAAATAATTTATCTGTGTGCTGGGGAGACTGATGGAGAACAAAGTAGACTTCTGGAAAAGCTAAGATTCCTCCATGTCGTTTCCCAGAATTGCCAGTTCAGGGTCCAGTTCAGCTACTGGAACTGGGAATACCACATAGAGTAGAATACTACAAGTGCTTATCAAAGTCCTTTAGGGAATAAAATAAGGTTCCAGTGGCTAAGAGTTCTGGCCTAAACTCTCAACATTTGAGTTAGTGAACATGCATAGTTTTATAATATTTCAAGAGGTTTCAAGTGAAAACAGGGTATCTTTACTCTTCGTCTTAATACAAATAAATAAAAATTCAAAAGCACATATAACAAAATTTGTAACAATGGAATTCTGCATGATAAGGAAGTAAGGGTAAGCTGGGAACAACCTAGGTGGTGGGAAGAGGGGGGACTACATGCCTGCATTGAAAAGCGCATTGCCACTGTCATCAAGCATTCAGTCAGCTTTCCCTGAGGGTACCCAAGTGCTTGCATTACCCATTCTCCTGTCACTGCTTCTCCAGCAACCTCAGCCAGTAGGGCCGACAGCCCACAGCGCAGGGCTAAACAGCTAATTCTTTGCCACTCTTACCTACCCTCACTTAGTCTGTTTGATGCGTCCTAAGACTGAATAAACATCACTTTTTTTTTAAGATTGATAAATGTCTCTTAAGAACACTTTTATCAGCAAAGAGTTAAGGGTTATATTATGATATAATTTCTTTAAGGAAATTCTTATTGTACTTTTAAGTTATATTAAATATAAAAATATGAGAAACGGTAATTGATAGAAATAAAATATCCAACCTTGTATCATGGAATCTCCAAAGTTAAAAAAAAAAAAAAATCTCAGTACTACAACAGTACAACAGTATCAAGACTTAAAGTAACTTGTCAAGCACACTTTTGGCACAAAGAAACCAAATTAGAAAACAGGATCATGATCTGTAAAGCCTAGTTTATGAAGATCACAGTCTTCAAAGAATATGATTTAAGATAGACTTAAAAATTTATTTGCAAAGAAATCAGTAAGAAATTTGAAAAAAAATCTATTACCAGGACATATTTCAAATCCCTTCAGAAAACACTTCATATCAACAGATCAAGCCTCCAAAACAAACGAGGATGATTCCATCAATCTGTATGCATGCGCATGTATTCAAGCCTGTATTTTCATGCAGTATAACTCTAAAAATACTCAGACTTTTTAAACTGGATACTCTACATGCTTTGTTTCTTCTGCATTCAAACTTCTTATCTTATACTAACAGATTATCAGTATTATCATTAGGGTGTTTCCTAAAGATTTCCAAATTCTAAAAGTTGTCTTAAAGTTAGCTTTCCAACATATTGGTAAAATGATTAATCCCACATTAGTGTTATGCTTTAAAAGATGTATCTATATATTTTTTTCCTGCATTAAGAAAAAGTAAACAAACACACATAGTAAATACTGAACAACAGATCAAAGAGATGCTGCCTGTACATGTTTAACTGAAATCTGTTTTGAACAGGAAAAAGAAAAAGAAAAAAAAAAGAAATTCCCTATATATATATGATACTATCTTTGTTCAAATGTTTTTACTAACACTTAACAATGTGAGTTCTGAGGGATGTTTATGAATGTCACCAAAAAAATTAACTCCTAGTTAAATGTTTAATATGCTAATAGACACGATGAATTTCCAAGAGATATGTTTTCCAAATTGATTTGATTAGAAAACCCTTGGCACAATAAACCTTCTTGTACAGATAATCTATTCATTCTAAGATCTTCCAAATACAACCTTTGGTTAAGTGCATTATTTCAAGCAAGATCTGAATCATGCGAATGACTAGTTCAAACCCAAGTACATCTTTAAGACAACAGATAAAAGATTAATCAACAGTAAGCCATAAAACATTTTAATAACTACACTTAGAGAAGTAAATGACATATATGCAATATTAAAAACCGAAAACCAAGGGTCAGTAAGCTATGGCACACAGGCCAAGGAGGGCCTGTCACCTATTTCTGTTCAATCCATGAGGTAAGAATGGTCTTTACCACTTTTTTAATGGTTAAGAAAATATATATATATATATTTCTTGCCACGTGAAACTTATATGAAATTCAAATATCAGTGTCCATGAATAGTTTATAATTTAATTGGAGTAGCCATGTTCATTTGTTTATGTACTACCTATGACTGCTTTCTTGCTAAAATGGCAGAACTGATGACGTGAGACAAAGACCAAATGGCCCGCAAAGCCTAAAAGATTTACTATTTGGCCCTTTACAAAAAAGGTTTGCCTACTCCCGCTAAGTTAATATTTCAGTATTCACAAATCTGAACTAGAGCTGTGCCCGCCAAACAGATGCTCAGGGAGATGCAACATTCTACTCTTATTCTATGAGATTGCCACTGCTCTAAACAGTTTGGAATTACTTTTATGGAATTGAGTTCACTGAAGAGGCAAATAGGCTGAACACGCAACCTGGAGGCACTAGGCCTGGGGTTTGAAGCTAAAGGAAGCCTAGCACCAAAAAATGCAGAATTGTGGTTTACTAGAATTAGCTCCACACTCTAATCATGTCCTGCCCAGAATGATCATTCATGTGACTCGGACAAGACACTTTTTAAACCACTTTTAGAGGCAAGAGAAATTTATTTTCCAAGTAAAAAAATCTACTGTATAAATCACACTGAAGAATCAACTCATTACATCAAATCACCATTGACCAGTGTTGGTAACCAATTTCACTTGATTCACCAGACTTGTTTCCAAACAACCTCGAATCTACCCTGAAAGAATAAAAATTTACCCCTGATTGATAGTACATAAAAGTGGTCATGTTCTGACAGAAATGTCAAATAACAAGTCCCCAAAATGTATGGAGCAATTAGCAGTACATGTCAAAGAGGAATCTAAACTCTCGATATTAATATTTAGAAGGCAACATACTGAAGTATGAAAATTATGGTGCATGGTATAAGAAGTCAGTTACAGTTCATTAGAGCCTACTATATGCCATTGTTTAGAAGTCCATAGTAATTCAATAATTGATAATAAAATTAACAACCCCCAAAACAACTGGCTAAATTGATTTCCCCAGAAAGAACCTGGAAATACTAAGCTTTTATATGGCAGAGGGTTTGAGAATAACAGAAAAACCATAAAAGAGCAATAATTAACAACTATCAACAGAGCCAGCCAAAAGAGGAAAGAATATTATTTCATCTTAATGAAGAAAAAGTTGATCTGACAGCAAACAGCCTTATTTAACAGAAGTCAAGTTTGCTTACTACTTTGTGTTAATTGCAAGCTGTTTTAGGCATCTACTTCTCTCCTAAGATTAGAATTTCTAAATGAATAAGGTCAATTATAAAGAACAGCATTTGTACACAGGCTCTTCCCTTCCACAGGGGCTGTCTCCTACCTTCAGGTGCATTCACCAACATCTACATGAACGCTTCCAGGACCACCTGATTTAAAATGCAAACCAACCCCTTTTCTTTGTCTCCCTCTTTCCTCTTCTCCTTTCCTTCTCTTTCTTTCTCTTCCTTTCCCCACATCTCTGCTTCAACTTTGCCATATCCTCTTTTACCTTCTGCCATGCTATATATTTTATTTCTGTGTGGGTTTATTAGCCATCTCTCCTCATAAGAACACGTGCTCCATGAGACCAGGGATTTTTATTTTTACCCATCATGCTCACTGCTGTGGACAAGATCCGAAAACAGCACGTTTAGTAAGAACTTGTAGAATAAAGCAGAAAACACCAAATGTGGCTGAACAATTCCTTTACTTCACTATTTTTGAAAAAATTTTTCTCTTCAAAGATTATCCATTATAGCTTGTCTAAATCAACGAAAATTCTGAAACAGGTATTAAAAAAAAACACTATAAAAAGTTTCAAAGTAAAACCTTAAATGTGTTTTATTTGTTCGATTGACTATTTCTATATCTCAAATGGACTGGGATGAAATATGGCTAGAAGATACAGATAATCCTTAAAAAAAAAAAAAACTATCAGAATCTAACGTTCCCAAGAGAATATTTAACAGCATAATTAGAAGGATCTGTCTGATTACCTGAGCTATAGAGGCCTCGGGATTACCCAGTAAGTTTTTGAAGGAACGCTTGGAAATCCACTTGAGTTGATGCCAGAAGGAGGTGGCATAGGTGATCTCCTTGAAGGCTATGCTCTTCTTCTTTTTTTGCACCCCTGAGAATTGATCTAACTCAATTTTCGTTTCTCTGAAGAAGGTGGAGTTGACATAAAACTCAGCCAATTTTTCTATGAGTGGCTGATCTCTCTCGGAAGGCTCTTTGGTCTTCTTGCCTTTGAAATAAAAGTGGATTGGAAACATTAACAAAATAGCTAATTTAGCCCATTTTTCTGTAACCCCTTTCTTACATTCTTCCCTAACACCTTAATTCTAAAGCTTTAGCATAACAAACTTATGCACTGTCATATTATACATTAGAAAAAACAGTTAATTGGCCTGACTACTTCCAAAAACTGTGGATACAACAAAATAGCTGACCATTTCCTAACTATAATATGTGCACTGTGATTCTTCTAAAATAAACTTTATCCTTGGGGAGTTGTAATTCTCAATATAAAAACTTCAACCTTGCTTTGTACTATGTGTGAATTTAAAAATTGTCAAGTTTTTATTTTGAAACACTCTATAAACAATGACCATTTTTTAAAAATGAAAACTCTCTTTATACTGACACTAACAGTTCAAATTTTAAATTAATTCAAAAACAGCACTCATGAACAACAAGATCTGTGTTGACTGGTGTTATAGACTGAAAATGTTTGTGTCACCCCAAAATTCGTATACCAAAACCCAGTCCCCAGTGATGGTATTTGAAAGTGGGGACTTCAAGGAGTGATTAGGTCATGAAGATGGAGCCCTCATGAGTGGGATTAGTGCCCTTATAACAGAAGCCCCAGAGAGCTCCCTTCCCACACCCACCAAGTGTTGAAGCATTAGGAAGATAGTCGACCACCTACAAACCAGGAAGAGGGTCCTCAACAGACACCAAATCTGCTGGCACCTAATCTTGGACATCCTAGCCTCCAGAACTCTGAGAAATAAATCTTTGTTGTTTAAGTCACCCAACCTATAGTGTTCTTGTTACAGCAGCCCAAACGGACAAAGACAGTTGGTGTCAGAGAGCAGCATTAGTAATGTAAATTCACAAAGCCACATTCTAATGAGCTACCACACTGCTACACGTCAGCCAATTCAGTTAGGTGACAATCTGTGACTCTCGACAGGTTTACATACCTTCACCATCTTCGTCCTCTTCGCTTAATACCACAGCAGAGGAGTCTCCATTAATCACATCCAGGAAGAAGTCTGCAGGGTTATTATAGGGCTCACAGTGTTGACCTACAAAAGAAGGCAACTCTGGTACACAAGAAAAAACATATTTTGAAAAAGAAAAAAAAAAGCAGTATCTAGAACTAATGCTCCACAAAGCAAAGCAACAAGCAGAGCCAGCTAAGGCACTGCAGGATTGTTTTTACAAGAAGCCCAGGGTGGGTTCTGTTCTCTGAGTTCACATAGGGGCTGCCAGAACCCCAGTACCCACTTTACCAATGGTTGCTTCTACACATACAAGTTTGAGACCAACTTATCTTCTGTTATGCTGCTGTAATTCCAATATAGAGAACAAATCAACAGAGCAGCATTCTCAAGTGGATGTAATCAGCGTGGCACAAATGAAGGCTTACCTTGATTTCTTGAGCCAGATCATCTGAACTCATCTTGGCCTATAGTCCTACTCTCAGATTCCTCTCCTCCTAGACTCCCCAGATCCATGTATGCGTGATTATTGTAAATGATATTCATCAAAAACAAATTTTTAAAAATAGAAATTATTTAAAATTATATCTGGAGTCCTGAAGCATCATCTATAATGTCCAAATATCTCTAAAATAAAGTGAACTAAATGAGCCATAAAAATATTGCACCTTTCCATCTGAAATAGAACTAGGAAGCCCAGAACTGTCAGAAATTTTGGCCTATCAGTGTCAAAATCAGGAGTAGCCATTCAATTGACTGGTAAGACACTCATATCCACTTCAGGTCTAAATCTGCAATCTGATGTTACTAGAAAATTAAGTGGCATCTACCTAAACCCTCACAAATACAGACCAACATCCAGCGCAAAGGGAAAAAAATGATAAAACCTGATTTGTTGTATGGTCAAGAAGACAAATGATTTGGGGGTACCAGGCCTTTCTATGAATGTTCAACTGACAGATAAGTGGCTATGAGGCTAATATATTGATTGAACCGTTCGAAAAAAAGTCACCAGAACTGGGAAGCAGAATAGATAAAGGCCCAGTAGAAACAGTCCAACTCATACACAGAGTATGCATGCATACTCAAAAAAGACAAGAGACCTAATTAAGTCTATGCTGCAAATGAAGAAAAAAGCAGCAAACTAACCAAATATATACTGGAGTGGCAGAACCCATAATATGTCTACTCAAAGGTTAAACGGAACTCTCGTCTACCTCCTCTGCTCTCTTTCAAGATTATATTAATGAAGGATCTCGGTGCATGAAAAAGGCAGCCATACCAGTGGATGCAAAGTACCCCAAGGCCTCCTGAGCAGGCCCATGGAACATTAGTCTTCCTGAGGCCAATAAAGTGAGGCTATCAAACAACTTGAAGATGGAATAACGAGGCTGATGAATGGAGAAGATGATGGTTCGACCCTGTTTAGACATCCTAAGTTAAAAATTGAGAAAATAACATGTGATTAAACTTCTGAAATGCGCACTTCTTAGCAAAATACTTTATTCCTGCCTGTAGGTCCTTAACCCTAATTCAACCTGATTTTCCCTTACTAACTTCTCATCTCATGTTCTCTCATGGTTAAGGAATCTAAATTCAATGCTTTTATGAAAGACTAAGCTTTCTTAAAATTATCCCACGAACAGTCTAGTATCAACTACAACATTAATTAAAACTGCAGATTCCTGGACAGTCTTCCAAGACCTGTTGGGTCTAGAAAATCTGTATTTTTAACAAGCACTCAGGAAATTTGTAAGTACACTCATGGTTGAGAACATACTATAAACTAAATATTAATACAATGGTTGATACCCCATTCCTATTGATCATTGAAGTCTTCTGGTTTTATACGAATTGGTATTCATTCTTCCGCCCCAATACTACAACTAACATTCCTAAGTACTTACTATGTCTTTGCTAAATACTTTATTGATAACCACATCTGTTTTTCATAATGCTTTTTTGAGGCAATACTGACAGTACCAATAGTAATATCACCCTCATTTTATAGATAATGCTGGGAGGATTATATAACTGGCCCAAGGTGTGACAGTTAGTAAGACCCAAGGCTGAGATTTGATGGACCATGGCCAAAACATTGCTAAACTACCTTTACTCAGAATTTGTTAATTATGAGTTGAAGAAACAAAGGCCAAAATCACCATTCAAAAACTGTTATTATTAAAAATTTTTAAGAGAACAATCACTTCAATTTAAGCATTTTCTTAGCATCTACTATATGCTAGCAGTGTATACAAGTTTGTTCTGCCTCAAAGAGAATCAGGCCAGTAAACCAATCATTTCAATACAATGAGGAATAGAAGTACCTGAGGATCCCTTGTAAGCAAAATAGGAGACTATAACCTGATCTGAAGATAATATAAGGTAGTGTCAAAGGGGCCTACAGGAATACTTCAAAGAAAGAAAGAAAAAGATAATCAAGGTAAAGAAACATGGAGAACAAAGTATGTGATAACAAGGTCTACTCAGGAAATTACATGTAGTTCAGTGTTATTTCAGAGATATGCTGGGAGGGGTGAGGAGGAGAGAAGCTAGCGAAAGAGGCTTCATCAAAACACAAGCCCTTTACTTTACTCAGAAAGTGGAACTTTAGACAGTAGAGAACAAAAAGCTGGTAAAAGACTGCATGCAGGCAAGTAAATTGGTGAGAGCCTTGCTAATCTAAGTTTGGTCTGAGGACAGACAGCATCAGTATCAGTTTCTCCTATTAGAAATAGAGACTCATGGGCTCCTCCTCAAAACTGCAGAAACATAATCTGCATTATAACAAGACCCCAGGTGATTCGTGTGCACAGTAGAGCTGGAGAAATACTAGGTTAGAGCTCTTTGGAATAAAGAAAGATGCTTGTTTGCTAACTAGTCCAAAGCATAGTGAAAATATTTATACAGTATTCTTTATCAATTCATAATTCTCTAATGAACACTGTTAACATAGTTACAGATGATAAAAATACCATGGATGTGTTCTCTAACTGACCTTGAACCCAGGACCCATTACTTGGCATCGTCACTCATATGTACAATTGACATCTCTAACTTAAGATGCCTAAAATCTTAGACATCTTCCCATCTTCATGTTTCTTGTCATCCTAGCATAGAGATTTGCTTATGAGTGCATGGTTATCAGAGGAAGCAAGGTAATAAAAGAAAGGAAATGCCATACAAAGGTGGAGTGTCTGGCAGCTTTTTAAAAATGGGACTGGGGAGCAGGGAGTTTCCTATTGATGGCAGGCACAGAGAATGGCCAGGGTAATTGGTTACACTGAACAGTAAAGCTGGTTGGCTCCATAAGTAAGTAAATATGTTGAGATAATAGGAGCCAAGTTTCTCACTCTCTGAAAAATCGCTGATAAACATGGAAAGGGCGAGGCCTAAAAAGAATATTCAGTTGTTAATTTTGAATTGAATATATTACTATGAACTCATGGATTTTTCAATATATACATAACTATAAAGACAGCAATACTTTCAGATGTATGTTTATGAGTCTTTCTATACAAACTGCATATACTCACTATATTTTATATTCAATATATATTTTCCAATACAGAAATATATTTCTATATTATATATACACACATATGCACACATACCAGTATATTTCTTTTCCCTCTCTGCTAAATGGTCTAGAGGCAATGATAATCCAGCAGCAGTGAGCACACTAAGTTTCTAAATCTTAACAGTATCAGAAAGAACTAGGGAATCTTAACAGTATCAGAAAGAACTAGGGCTCCATAGAGAAACATCTGACACAGGAAAGGCACAAGATGAGGCTGAAACATCTTGCTGACCATAAAGCAAAAAAACGCTTGAAGAATAATCAGAGACATGTCAAAAAGAATTAAAAGCCAGATTCAAGGGGCTTTCACTGGCCAACTAAGGGTTAATTTGGTCATAAAAATAAATAAGAATAACAGATTATAATGCATTAACTAAAATAAGAATATGAGAAAATATAAATAGAGGAGAAAAACTTCTTTGCAGTAGAATGCCAACTGTGAGGAAAAAATGGTGAAAACAGAAAATCACCATTTGGCAACCATCACGCTAGTAGTTGACACATGTAGAGTTGTCAGTATATGCTAAACTGCTGGGTGGACGTTTGATGAGAAACAAGATATTAGCATAGTATCTGATTATTTCCCCTGGCAAAATACGGATTAATTACAAAGGGATAACTAGCTATTTCAGAGCAGGTAAACACAGCAGACATGCATATGACCAGGTAATAGAGGTTAACATGATCTGAAGCCACGCAGCCCCTCATGTTATACACCCAGAACACAGCATCCTTTCTGGAGCATCCCTGCCAAGAATTCATGGCCTGATCTAGTCACATAAAAACTTACTGGATGGATCCAGATTGAGGACCACCCTATGATATGTATTCTCAAAGATGGGCGAGGACATGAGAGGCAAGGAAGGACTGAAGAGCTGCTCAGGCTTAGAAAAGAGTATTTCTGCAAAGGATCCTGAGACATGGAAAAAGAAAAAGAGAGAAACTTCTGAGACAGCTGCTGAAGCCTGAATGGAGTCTATGGACTGGATGGAGGCAATAGGATCAGTGTGACCCCCTGGCTGGGAGGTGTATAAGGTGATAATGTAAAAAGATTGTCTTTATATTGTGGATTACACTCCAATATATTTTTGGGTTATGGGAAATAAAGTAAAAAACAAAACAAACACATATGAGGAGGGGAAGAGAGACAGAAGGAGTACAAAAGCAGTTAAATGCCAAGAGTTGGGCAATCTAGGTAAGGAGACATGGGATTTCTTTGTGCAATTCTTATGCCTTTTCTGTAAGATTGAAACTTTAAAAAATTTAATGTTAAATAAAGATGCCAACAAATACTCTTTAAATTTCTCCTATTAATATGATCCTTCCACAGTCTTCTTTCTTGATAAAAGGAAATGCCACTGTTTTTATTCCATTCTTTCATGTTTCAGTCCTCAAATCTTAGAACTCATCTTCTCAAAACTCACAACCCACATCCAATTCACAAGCTAATCCTATGGGTTTTATACTCAAAATAGATCCAGAATCTACCTCCTTCTTCCCCCCTAATCACTATCATTTGAGTCAAAGCCACAATTATATCTCAAATGAACTATTACAAACACCCTCCTGACTGGTTTCCTGGTACTTACCCTTCTCCAATTATATATATAATCTTTTCTCTACACAGCTATCACTCCTCCATTCTAAAACTCTCTAAAAGCTTCTATGTCACCTAAGGGACAAAGTCAGAGTTCTTACAGTGGCCTACAAAAGCCTATAAAATCTGCCAACTACTTAAATCCATCTGGTTCCTGTTCTAACTGTTGAGTACTGAACTGTATCCCCCCATTCGCTCAAATTCATATGTTGAATTCCTAAGCCCCAGCACCAGTAAAGGTGACTGTATTTGGAGACAGAATCTTTCAAGAAGTAATTCTGGCTAAAGGTCATACGGGTGAGCCTCAATCCAATAAGAACTAATGTTCTTACAAGAAGAAATCATGACACAGACACACTGAGAGAAGATGAAATGAGACACAGGGGAAAAGACAGCAACCTATAAGCCAAGGATAGAGGCCTCAGAAGACACAATCCTGACAACACTGGACTTCTGGACTCCAAGATTGTAAAAAAATTAATTTCTGTTGCTTAAGGCACCCATTCTGTAGTACTGTGTTATTGAAGCTCCAGCAAATTAATACACTAACCAACCACTGGGTTCCATCCCTCTCAGGTCACTGGGTTCCATCCCTCTGGCCTCTTGAGTTTCAAACACATTAGGCATAGGCTGCCTCAGGACCACTGGCTGTTGTCTTCAACTAGAACTCTCTCCTCTCAGACATCTAGGTCTTGCTCACAGCTCAAATGGCACATCACTGAGGTCTCCCTTGACCATCCCACTATGTAATAGGGCACCAACCACCCCAACAAAGCAGTCCTCCCTATACTTTCACTCTGATTCATTTTCCTTGAAATACATATTTGTTATTTGACTGATCTCTTACAACAAAGAAGGAAGAAACATTTGTCTGTTGTGCTCACTGCTGAATCCACTGCACCAAGAATAATGCCTGGTACATAGCAGGTGATCAGATAGTGCATGAAAGACTAATGTTCCCATATATTTACCTCTTCAGGAGCAAAAGGACAGCATTTGCTGTGCTTGAGTCTAGGCCTGTTGTGGGCTCATCAAGGAACAAGATGGATGGATCGATAATAAGCTCCATTCCAATACTAGTCCTTTTCCTTTCTCCTCCAGACACACCACGGATAAACTGAGTTCCAACCTAAAACACAAATATTATCATTATTAGCAATAACAACCACAGCCTCTATCATTTCTTGAGCTCTTAATATGTGCCAACCCTATAAGAGGCACTTTATCTCACATCTTCATTTATTCTGAACAGCAAATGAGTATCTGGGAGAAGAGGTAGGTTTCTCTTTAATTAGATGAGTAGACTAAGGCTCAGGTCAGAGCTGGTATGTGGCTAAGCTTCATATGAAACCCATGCTTTAAGTAGTTCTATATGTTTTTTATCAAGTCAAGTATTTAGTTTTAAGATTATAAGTTAGAACTCAAAAGACATGGTCTTGACATAGTGAAATCATGTCCAAAAAGGGACAAAAGATAGTAAAGGAAAAGAGGAAAGCATTTACAATTTATTAGTCTTCTTATACATCTCTTCTTTTCCCCCACCAAGGAGAGTCCTCAAGTGGACTCACAGGAAGAGCTGGGCCTTGGCAGCTAAGAAAGTTAACTTTCTACTGTTCATATTAGCACCTCTTAGATCATCAAAAGGCTTCCCAAACTGACCCTGACTATACCTTAATGCTGGCAGAATTCCTGACTCGTTCTTTTAGACAAATTCAAGGTGGCTGGCTCTGTCTTTTCAACCACTCAGTGTCACTGTATGTGGTTGGGAAGCAGGAAGGTTTCAGAAGAGGCAGGAGATAGGAAACAATTCTTAAGGTAAGAGTCTTCAAGAGCTGATCATTAAATGTTACTCAAGCCCTTCATGATATCCTATAACAACTGAGTTATAAAAGGTATTTTAAGACAATTGGAGATATAAGAATAAATATGGGCTCTATATGGTTGATACTAAAATATTATTATTTTTGTTAGTTGGTAGATATTGTAGTAATGTAGATAAATGCTCTTATTTTTTTAAATGCATAATAAATATTCAGGGATAAAATATGATACCTATACCTTTCTTTAAAATACCTCAAAAAGAAAAAGCAGAAGATATTATTGAATACAATATTTAACGGCTGGGAAATCTAGGTGCATGTTATTAGTAATCATATCATAGTAATCATATCATATTTTTAATTATACTACAACGATGTCATTACCGTAGTAATCAGACTATTCTCTCTACATTTCTGTTAAAAAGAAAATGTTTAAATTTTCATAAAAATAAACATTTTTACTATATTGTTTCAATCAAGTAGATCAATGAATTCTAAGAAGTCAACAATTGCCTTCAGCTTCTTTTCCCTAGAAATCCATGCAAGGAACTCAGGGCAATGGCTGCACAAAGATAAAGAATAGAGAGCGCTTACTGGAAAGACAAAATCAAATAAACAGAACCCCAGCATAGAAAACCCAAATACTTATAAAACAAACATAAGTGGGAAACGGTAGCATCTCAGAGTTATTCTTCTAAACAAAATACAGCAAAATACACTTTACATAAAAGGCTATCGGAAAGTATCATATGAAGCAGCGACTAGCAGAATACTCGCATTCTTCATTACTCTAAAGAAGAGATAACACAGGGGGATTAAACTAGAGCCATGACAACCTAGGAAGTTCATCTTCACCCAAAGCCTCAAATGTCCTCCCTGCAAACCTATTAAACCTATTTATCAACTGTAAAGTTCACTCATTCATCTCATTTCTTCTTCTTGATCTTGCGCAACCCACATAAGCAGTTACTTTCATTTCTCTTGCCCACAACTGATATCTGTAAAACCTAAGGGAGACCAGCAGTTGAAGTCTGCACATAATATTGGCCAAATGAAGGGAGAGAGGGGAAGGGAGACAGAGTTTCAAAAGAAAGGCTATAGAAAGACAACTTGGATTTCATACAAATTAGAAATAAACCCTAATATGACTGAAAATAAATTTGGAAACCAAACTGTAGAAAAATGAAACACAGAGGAAGATCCCATGAATTTTCATCATTTATGAATTCCAGAAATATACCTCCAAAGCAATGAAACAAAGTCCCTTGGAGGAAGAGAGGCAGAATAGCTAAAAGGGAAAGGAAAAACAGAAAGAAGGAAAGCTAGTGTACAGATACTGAATGAGACTGGACTTAAGCAATTAGCATGGAGGAGAATCAAAAGCTGTAATCACAAAGCAGGGGTGTGTGACTTTGCAAAGAACACTTCTACATACTAGACCACACTGCCATACCTCATTTCCAGGACTCAATCTTTTTTTTGAATTTTGTCCTGATTAGTTTCCACCTTCATATTATATAACTAGTCACTTTTCTTGTTACAAAAAGCACCCACTTTTGACCACAAACATTATAGAAAATATGTGAATAAGAGTTACACCACCCACACAGGAAAGGGCCCATGTCCTGTCAATGTTACCTCCATTTTTCCACATTACCTTGGAATCTGCCACTTTAGCCAGACCTAACTCTTGAATGACTGTGTTAATTCGTTCATTTTTTTCACGTTGCGTCATAGTTGTTGGAAGTCGAAGAGCTGCTGAGAACTGTAAATTTTCTCTCACTGTCAGAGTTCCCATCACGACATCATCCTTAAGGCAAATGGCATTTTAACAAGACACATCAGGTCTTTTGTAGTACCATCAATGTTTAGTATATAAAACTTAATCCACAAAAATAGAGAAAGTTCTAGCTAATTATGAACTTGTAATTATACAAATTATAAAACTCCATGTATAGAGAGATACAAAGTCTAATGGATAATTTTCATTCTGCATTTGTACACCCAAATAGAACACAGGTAATTGTAATTACTACTAGCAGACATTTATAGACCGCTTTACACAAAAATAGCCAAAATAGTTTTCTAAGCAAGGGGAAGGAGAAAGGTAAAGGTAGAGAAGAAAGTAAAACAGCAGTGCCTTTGGTAATATAATGACTAGAATTGCTAACGTTACCTTTACAAGAGTCATATTACATAACTAGCATTCATATCACTGTCCTGATAAGGGTCATATTCTATTCCCCCTGCCTTTCCATTTAGCACTACCCTACATCTGATGGGAGATTATCAAAAGCTGGTTTAAAGTAAGTTGGTTCTACACCCATGTTATGTAACCAGGGGGAAGCACACTGAACTATCAGCAAAGGCACATGCCCATGTAGAAACAGGAGAAATTTAAAATGCAAATCTGTACATACTTACTTGTACCACATAACCTGAGTTACATTTGAAATCGGCAGGTTGAGGTGCTCCATTTATCAAAACATCTCCAGATAATCCCTGCGGATCTTTTCTTGCAGCTAAGACATCTAACAACCTATAAAGAAACATATATGAGTTTTTTCCCCTCTAATTAAGGCTATATCTCTCAGCTACTCTGAATCCAAATTCTGCTCGTTAGAAAATAAACTGATCAAGAAATTCTATGTTTCAACTATTATTATATAGTCTTCTAATTCTTGTCTTTCATTTTTAAGTCTATGCTACAATAACACCCAAAAACATGAACACAAAGCACTGTTGGCTGACCCAGCACAGAGCTCCCAAACTGCCCTGTAGGCTGTGTGACCTTGGGAAATCAAACATAGGCAATGTGCTCTGTTAGCTGGGACTCAAGTCTTCACTTATGCCTTCAGCTCCATCTCCCCACTTTCAGTTTTATCCCCTTCCTTTTCTGCCTCATTAGCTCAAATTCACAGCTGGCAGCTGTATGCCAACCACCTTATCACATCCTGTCAGTATAGCTGACCTAATGACCTTTATTCCTCTGGACAGAACCACGGCATAACTGCGTGTGATCCGTAGCACCTACAGCAGGCTAGGCATGCAGTAATGCGCTACAAATACTTGCTCTCCTAAAAGTGATCTTTAAAAGCACATTAAAACGGCAAAGAAAAACCTTACTGATGCTCTCTGCTATACTCACGAAGATTTGCCTCCACCTGTGGGTCCCAGAATGGCGTTGAGGCCAGGTCTCATGATCCCACTGTAAATGCAGAAACAAACAGATTTACTGGTGCACTTTAAAGCCAGGTCTACTAATATAGGGTCTGCATTTCATACACTCAATGAAAGTTGATGAAATCAGACAGAAAACAAGCACAAATCAACTATTAAATTAAAAACAAACCAAATGGCCGATTAATAGAAGTCTAATCTACAAAGGACATCATCGCTTTTCAGGACCTATAAGAAAAAGGTCTCAGGTCCCTCTAAATTTCTTCCACTTATTCTCTATACCGCTTAAGTTTTGTTTTTGTTTTTGTTTTTTTCCCAAAAGGATACATAAATTTTCAAGTTTCCTTGAAAATAAAGATTCTAGTAAAGCCTCTGTTACACTACCTCTCTTAACACAAGGTAAAGTCTTGAGCAATGTTTGATGATAATTATTTTCCAGTCACCTCATTTGCTACCTAGTCAAGTTCTATACAATTAAGAAGTTAATGGATTTCTAGAATCACTAGTATTAGTGTTCTCATTGCTCGAATCTAGTCGGACCAAGAAACAATACATCTGAAGTAGAAATTCAATGGCTAGAATAAAGCACCTCAGGCATTAAAAGAAAGAAACCTCACCAGTTCTTAACCCTCACAAAATTCTTAATCAAATTGGAAATGTAAAACATATACCCTTCAAATATATTATTTTTTTCTTCCTTGTAAAGTGTCAGATAAGTAGACCGGAAAATTCTGTTTAGAAGGGAGACACTACTTTCCATAGGGGGTGACCTTTAAGGATGTACAGACATGGTGTAGACACTGCATGCTGCATGTTCCCAACAAATTACATAGTTGTTTGAGGGTAGAGAATATTCAGACAGAGAGCAGGAAAGTAGAAAAATTAAGGCAGTGTTGACTGTGCTGAAAATCAAGAAAAAGGCAAATAAATAGTCTGAATTTTATCCTCAAGGTAACCGGTAGAAAAGTAAAGAGAATGGACTGGAGCAAGGAGAATGAGGGGCGGGACCACCGCAGTTACATGGGCATGATGAAACAGGGTCTGACGAAGCCCTTTCAAAATCCTGGTCTGACAAAGCCCTTTCAAAATCTACGCCAATCTCTGTACGATGGGGAGGCAAGTAAAATTTATTACCCAGAGAAAATTATTCCAAGTGGAGGGTACAAAGTGGAAGGCTATTTCATTTCCAGATAATGCCTTTCACAGAGGCAAACACTATGCTACACAAATGTTGTTAGTGATAAACTTCACGATGCAGCTGTATCACAGTGCTTCAATCCAGGAGGACCTCCACATTTACTGCCTATTGTGTTTGAACTGTCACAAGGGTAAAAAGGCTGGTGGGTGCTAGGGTGAATGAAGTGTACCTTCCACACTGCTCATTAACTGAGGAGCCTCTCACTGAAACACTGGACAAATACAGTGAGTTAGGAAAATTAGGCACAACTTGTAAAACAAAAAAATATTTTATTCTTACCAAGACCTTTCCCCCGATGTAGAAATACATGCTAATGGTTGGGTGAACTTTCAAGATACATTTATCTATAGCTCTTGATGTGCCTTCTCTAGTAATAGCTACCTAGTAACTGTTTCTAAAATGACCAGGAATAAGCTTGTTATTCTTTAAAATTTCATTGTCAGAAAATCTTTCCAGGTTTTTACAAAATCTACTCAAATAAAGACCAAGCAATACTAAATAATTAACCCAAAACTCAATGTGAGCATTCTAAGTCAAAGAATTTTACAGGTCCCTAAGTTGGGCTTCCATGAAACCTTAGCATTACAGAAAACAACAATAATGTATAATTACAAATGCAAGAGTTCCAGTAGTGGCTAACTGTCCTTCCATTCATTTAACACAATTATTCATTGTCTACTATATGTGTACGAGACACTCTTCTAGAACGCAGGTCAGAGCTGAGAATAAAAAAGTCCTAGCCCTCATGGAGTTTACATTCTAAGTCTAGGGATCACATTTTCTGTGTTCATCGACAAAATGTTATTGGAACAGAGCAACATTCACTTGTTTATGTCTATGACAGCTCTCATGCTACGACAACAGAGTTGAGTAGTTGCAACATGGAAGTATGGCCTATAACACTCAAAATATTTACTCTCAGGCCCTTTATAGAAAAAGTTTGCTGATGACCTCTGTTCTAGTCTATAGTCTACAATTTAATTGTTGCCCCACCCCACCCTCCACCCTACCCTCATCCCTCATCATTCACTCCCCACCCTTATTTATTGCTTTATAGCATTTACATGCAGGATAAGAAAGTATCTCTCACTATACTGTAAACCTTGCCAATAAAAACTTGTATCATATTCTTTTGATCCACAGCATCAGCACAATGTTCTACAATGAGTAGACTACTGAATACTGAATATATGAAATGAAAGCAAGCTATGCGATTCCTGTCACATCTATTACATTTTAGTAAATAATGGTACATCCTTTTGTCTTGTTTTGTGAGTGAGAAGTCAATGCCATTCTCACTGCTTGGAGCATCATCCATCCCTACCCTGCCCTATACACACAAACATACACCCCAAATCTTAACTTTCTCTCTCCCCATGCCTGCAGCCCTCCAATTTGGGGTTTGGGACTTCCATCATGTCTTCTAATTTCTCTATCCCATAATAGAACACAGTGAAGTGCTCTACTTGTCTGAACCACTCATTAGACTGGGTTTTTGAAAACAGAGGACATAATTTTGTCACTAGCATCTCGCAAAATGTCAGGCACCTAACAGACATTCAAAATTTGTTGAATAAATGAATTCCTACATTTTCATAAATGACAATTACTTATAGGAAAACCAAATGTTTTCAATAAAAACAAATGTCAAGAAGTAGGAAATAACTTATGGATATTAAGTATAGCCTGACTGGAAAATAGGTATGGTTACATTCCCTACTTACTATACCATGTTCAAAGAATACATGGTATACATAGTGCTGGGTGGAGGAGCAGCAACCACTAGCACCCAAGAACACAGGCCGCAAAGGAGGTGAGAGAAAGAGAGGAGACAGCTGGGGGATGGAGAGATTGTTTATATTAAGGAATAAAAAAAAAAAAATGGAGCACATTAGTAAGTATATTAAGAATGCGAGCCAGAATTTTTACTTTTTGAGAAGATGTTTTACAAACATGGAAACATGGAAATAACCTTTGCATGTTAAATCTGACTTGGAGGTCATGAGTTTTAATCTACATACAGACAGATATAAAAAGATTTAGACATGTGTATATGAATATACATATATATGTTCCCTAGGTCTGTCCACTTGAAAGGCCTGGGAGCTATGATGTCCCAATAGCAATGAATGTTCCAAACACCCAGAACCAGATCGGTAAATAAAAATTTCCCAAAAAGGTACACCAACTCATTCCAGGTCTGGAGCAGAGTAAGCACACAGTGAGTCTGGAACTTTTTGCTGTGCTAAGAAAATACTCAAAGAATGAGAGAATATATCAGAAAAAGAAAACATCTACCTTGAAAGTCTCCCACTGACCAAATCAGGAACTACAGGAGTATCAAGATAAATAATGACGATAATGCATTACTATTGAATGCTACTGAATAAAACGTGAATCCATGAGTCTATACTGATGGAAATAAATGAATGAAGAGATGACAAATGAACCTTTTTCCTTTAAGCAGAATGCAAACAAATCCATATCGAAGAGTAGGATGGAAACAGAAAATCACCCTTTGGTAACTACCATTCTGACAGTAATTGCTGACTCTGGCACGAGTCATCAGCGGGTTCTGAAACTGCTGGCTTCAGGTTTAATAAAGAGTAGAGTTTGGGCAAATGTCAGGGCATCTCCTGTTTTGGTTTTTATAATTTACAAAGAAGAAAATAGTGCCATTAAGGCAAAGGCTGGCAGTCACCAACATGACCAGGTGACCAAGGTTAACATCACTTAGAGTGGGACAGGAAAATACCAGGTTGGATGAGACTAAGGGGAGAGACATGATGTCATGGTCAGTCAACTATGCGGAGAGCACGGTTGACCAGCAGCCCCTTAGGGCCCACCACTACATCCATTATGAAGCTTTGCTTCCCCTGAGCTACTTCCAGATGATGACCAGGTAGTTATCTCAGAGAGGGTCCTATACACACAGGAGGAGTTAGGAATAATAGAGCTCCATATGGACAGCTTGCTCTCAAATGATTTAGAAAAATACTAATGAAATTGGGTATCCAAAGAGACAAAATGACTCACAAATGCACTGAAATGTTAACAGGAAGTCTGAATAAAGGGTTATGTTCTTGCAAGGTTTAAGTTTGAAATTATTTCAAAATAAGTTATTAATTTAAAAAAAAATCTCCAAAAAGATAATGAATTTCCTTGAAGATTATAGGATATCCACCCATCTATTGGAATGGACCATTTTTGCACAGATCTTCAGCTTTGGTGAGAAAAAGATCAAATGCTGGGTATAAAGACAAACTAAGGATTATAGAAAGGTAGTAAAATCTCACCTTTTTGAATTCTCATAGTCAGATTTTATTTTATCTACCTCCCCTTTCCTCCACAGAGGATGTCAGGTTCTAGTTACTTAGTTCTAAAAATAAGATTACAGAATGCCCAAAGGAAAAACAGAAATTGAAATTCTCATCATCTTTTTTTTGGAATAAAATTACTATTTTGAATGCTAGTGGTGCAATCAAACACAAGTAAAAATAAGATAAATGAGAGCGACCTTTCTCCCATCCCAGAAATACTAGTAGAAGACAGCAGATAGAAGAAAAATTAGAAATGCTTTATGAATAAAAGGGATAATATAGCTAGCTCATGGATGCCTAAAACAGAAATATGAGGAAGCAAGAAAACCCTAATGTTCTACAAGACTTATAGAGGCAATACTCGTAAGGTAAGTAAATGTCTAATCACTATATTGTATACTTGAAAGTAATATAATATTGTATGTCAACTATATTTTTAAAATAATTTTTTAATTTTAAAGAAAAGATTTGACAGTTTTTCTGAACCTAGGAATGCAGGTAAAGATGGACATTCCTTCTATTGCTGGAATGCATACCATTGAACCATAAAAACATAAAGCCTTGAACAGATGGCATTTTTAGTGTATCGGGTTACTAATCTGTTAGCTTTAAAACATAAGCAAGATAAATGTACTCTCACAAGTATGCATTTTAAATCTATTCAAACTTACATGGTCAAATCATGTTACCTTTCGCCTAGCACAAAATCTGAAGTGACTAACACTTTCTTTATTGTTATGTTTCACAAAAAATTTGTTACTTTTCAAAAAGGTCAGTGAATTCTCTCTAGGCATATAGCAAAAGATAAAAGCTTTGTGTCTACCATTCTTCTTATTTTCCTATTCAGGGTTTCTTAACTAATGCACGAAAGCAACAAGGAAGTAAGTATGACAGAAAGTGTTGCTGCATGATGAAAGCCCTATCTCATGCTACACAATCTGACCTTACCACAACCCAATCAATCTCAGATCTCCATTGTTTCTTACCCGCCCACATCCAAATATTTTCTCCTCTGTAAATTCCTACCCTTCTGGGAGCAGTAGTCTGCCAGTAACAGTAAAGGCCACAATCCCATAGAATGCATGGAGAAAACATGAGAAACATCTGAGTCTACATACCTGGACAAAGGGCTCTTAAAACCACCCCTCCAGTCTAGGAAAACTAGAAAAGATTCCTTGTTCTATCTTGAAATAAAAATTTCCCTTATGAGAGCATTTGAGATCTTGATCCTCAGTGTACACTCTCAGTATTGCTTCAAAAAAATTTTTACAAAAATTTAAAAAAAAATGTCCCCTATTAAACAAAGTAACAAAACAGAACACATAGGCCATGCTGTCAGAGCTAACTTAGATACACTCCCCTCTCCAGAGAAGGGAAGAATCAGGCTTAATTCTCTAGAAATCAGAAAAACATGAACAATCCTAATGCCTATCATCTGTGAAAGAAGAGAGATACATGGTACCAAGTTCTATTCTCATTCTCCTCCCCTCTCTACTGCCCACACAACCACCACGTGATCAATTCGTTGCTAGAGGTGAGAATAAAAACATAGTTTTGTACTGGTTTGGATCCTAAATTCTCCTATCACTTGGGACTTCAACAGCATACCTTGAGCTAAGCTAGATCTGTTTTATACTCTGGTTGTTTCTGTCTGTATAATTGAGGAAAACATTAGGTAAAATGTTATAGATTAACAACGACTATAAATAGGTCACTTACTTAAAACAAGTCTATTTGAAACCCAAAGTACTTTCACAATATATTGTCATTTCGATCTCCTCACTTTTGCTTCTAGAACATACAGGACATAAAGTGCATAAGTACCCATAGTGTCTGGCTCATAAAGTACAGTGATCTTTTATCGCACAGATTAGAAAATTGAAGCTCAAAGATTACAATTTTATCTCCACAATCAAAAAGTCAGAAGTCATATACCCAGGCTTCCTTTCCACTAAAACATGAGGCTTGCCCAGGAAAAACTAAATGACACATTAATTACTCAGTTTCTCAAACAAAAGTTGATGCATATGGTACAATCACTTTAAAAAGTTTGGCAGTTCTTTTAAAAATTTAACATATACCTAACATATGATCTAATCATTTCACTCTCGATTGAGCCAAAAGAAATGAATGTGTCTATATATCTGTAGACAAATGTCCATAGCACCTTTACTTGTAATAGGCAACACCTGTGATGTTCACAAGATGTCAATCAAGCTATTTAAATAAAAGTTCATGCACATACCTGACATTCATTAGTATTTCTTTCTCAACTGTTTTTCGACCAAGTAGAAAGCCACTCTTCACTTTCACTCGATAGCAAATGTTATGAAAACTTAACACGGCTCCTTCAGTAACCATCTTCAGGTCGTTGGAGGTTGTCCCAGGGGGCCCACTGGTGTCTCTTTGTGACATTGGGATGAAAACGTGGTCATTTTTGGAAGACATCTGAAGAGTTTCTGCCTTTCTGTGGAGGGAAAAGAAACAGTAAGTTGACAGTCCAGATAAATGAGATTGTAAACACTAGTTAACAGTACACTTTAAACAAGTCCATTTTGGACAAACTTCCAGTTGTAAAATAAATAAGTCCTGGGGATGTAATGTACAGCATGGTAACTATAGTTAACAATACTCTATTATATATTTGAAAGTTGCTAAGAGTAGTAGATCTTAAAGTTCTCATCACGAGAAGAGAAAAACTTATAACTGTGTGGTGATAGGTGTTAAGTAGACATTGTGGTGATTATTTCACAATATATACAAATATTGAATCATTATCTTGTACACCTGAACTAATGTTATATGTCAATTATATCTCAATTAAAAATATTTTAAAAATATAAATCTAAATTTTACAAAAATGTAAAATACCTCAGTCATTTTTATATTGATTACATTTTAAGTAAAAATAGTTCAGATATGTTGGGTTCAATAAGATATATTATTAACATTTAAAAAGTAAGTTCATTTTAAACTGCATTATAATGAATAGCACCATTTCCAATGAACAGCCCATGTCACTATGATAAGAAAAAACTTGGAACCCATATTAGGGAGGCGAACACTCCCTTTAGATGTCAATTAAATATCTAATTATAGGAAGAATTTGAAAATTACTCAAAAACTCCAGAAGCAGGAAACACCTAAGAAGAGTTAAACTTGGCATACTATGATATGGCTCAAGATTAAAGACACATCACCATCATCACTGATTTTTTCTTTCTGTTTTTGTTTTTATAAGTTTGGAGTTTGTGACATAGTTATTACAAAAAGGCGCTTAGCCAAGCAGTCAGGGACAAGAAAAATTTCTCTGGATTTACAGCTCTAGGGTTTATATCACTGGTTTATGCTCCTTCAATCAGCTAAACTCCAAAATTGTTTGGGATGACATAATCATTTCCTTAATGGTGAACATATTTAAATCCCAGGAAGCTTTAGAATTAAGTACAAAAATAATTAAGAAAATCAAGCTAATAGTTATGCAGTTAATAAATTTAAAAGAAAAACTGAGTATCAAATCTATAAATAAAGTTTAAAAGTTTTATTAAAGAAACTACAAAAAGCCCCTTTAAAAGGTTCAATCAGGGTAAGAACTTAAGGCAAATTTAACAGATCGAATAGGTTTGAAATATGAAATTTCAACATACCTAGTTTTGATTTTTAAAAATCAAAGTAATCTATAAAGAACTTTCTCTCTATGGTAGAGTAGTTGTTCAAAACCAATCATCCCCTAAGAATGACTATAATAGTAGATAAAATATAAGAAGCAACAGTTTGAAGAGCTCTCTCTAATGAGAGCAACAAAAGCATCCAAGACTTAAGGAGCCAAAATCCTGGAAAGGAGAGAACAGGAAGGCAAACCCAGCATCCCGTGCCCCTTCTTCTCCAGCAGATTGCACACACATGGGGCAAAACTCAGAAACACCAGGTAGAAAGAGTTGCTAGAGACTAAAAAGCTAAGCAAATATTTCAGCAGCCTCTCAGTGCTAGGGAGACAAAATTTGAAGTTACAAGTCTACCCAAAGAGAAGAGGCCCTGGAAACCCCAAGCTTTCAACATTCTAGAAGGGCTGTGCCTTGGTAATATGGGCAAATCCAGAAGTAGTACTACAGCCTCTACTCGATCCAAGTGATCTGCCAGAAGAAAGTTAAGTCCACTCTCAAAGAAGATATAATCATCCAAATGGTCAATCAAAAATTACCAGGAATACAAAATAAACAAACAGAAAAGAAAGAGTCTCATAAATACAGAGAACAAACTAATGGTTGCCAGTTAGAAGGCAGTCTTGCGGGCTAGGTGAAAAAGATGATGGTATTAAGAAATACAAATTGGTAGTTACAAAATAGTCACAGGAATGTAAAGTACAGCACAGGGAATATAGTCAATAATATTGTAATAACTGCATGGTGCCAGGTGGGTACTAGAATTATTGGGGAGGATCACTTTGAAAATTATACAAATGTCTAACTGCCATGCTGTACACTTGAAACTAATAGAAAATCCTGAATGTTACTATAATTGAAAAAAAATTACCAGGCATCACAGAAAACAGGATTTAATGTTCCAACAAGAAGAAAATAGATATAGACCCACAGTAAGGGAGACTGAAGTCATCAGACATTGACATTAAAATAGCTGCTTAACATATTTAAGAAGATAATTGAAAAGAACCAGAATCTATTATTTTAAAAAATTCGAAAAAAATAAAATAATAATTTTTAAAAAATCGATATATAATTCAAACAGCAATTTAGATGCAGATTAGTGGTAGGCTGGTATGAGAAAACATCCAGATAAGGTGTGGGGTGATAATTATCACTATGGAAGAGAAAAAAATCCAGACTATAAAGGAAGAAAACTGTACTTTAAAAAGACTAAGAAACAAGACAAGAAAAAATGGCATAGACGATAGAGGCTTTGTTCACCCCTCTTGCGACCAAGTCAAAGTTGTGACAGAAACACAGAGCAAACAGCAAGGAAAGTCACCTGCGATCTAGAGAAACAGAAGCACTACAACTAGAGAGAGAAATCATTAATCAACTTGCAATGGTAGACGGTAGGAGGGGGTGAAGATACAAGGCTGCCTGGTCCCTAGTGGCTGAGTGGGTCAGAGGCTGTGGCAGCTGCAGATGCCTCTTAAAGCAGCCGTGTTGGCGAACGGACTTTCTCAGTAACAGACCTGCTTGCTCTGTGCACCCGTGCTGGGTCGGCTGCATGGGGGGCACCAGGGACTTACAGGGGGACACTGAGTTGTCCAAGTGAGGGCAAGGATCTCTCCCTGGCAGAAGTGCTGGCAGTATCCATGGTTCCTCTGTTTGGCCTTCCCCCCTCCCACTGTGCGGACACAGCGCCACCATAGCTGAAACATCATCAAACTGGAAAACAGAGGTCACTCCACCCAGAGAATTCCCTGAAATTCTGCCTCCCCCACTCTTGGCTCCACCCAAGCCACATCCAAGTGTATCCTCGGCAAGTCAGGTGCTTCTTGCTGAGCAGCACCAGGACTCACACTGGTGGCAGCTGGCCTCAGTTTCTGGTGTGGTTTCTTGAGGCAACTATAAGCACAACATCTGTGAATTGCTTGCTGAATCTTAACAGGTGGCCCCAGAAGGGCACAGGCTGGAGCTAAATTTGGCCTGCAGCTGAACCCCTCTCAGGACTGTGCCCCTGGACACCAACACAAAGCCACGCTAATAAAATTGGAAGACTTAGGAGCTTTGCTTAGTACATAGAAACAGATATAGAAAGGCAGCCAAAATGGGAAAACAAAGAAGCAGAAACCATATGAGAGAACAGAACAGAGATCCAGATATAATGGAGTCAAGTAATCTAACAGATGCCAA